TTTGTATCCTCCTCAAGTGCAAAGTTGTATTTTCTAACAGTGAAGAGGAACCTGGAATGCAGCTTCTTTCAGAAAAGTAAATAGTATGACAACTGGAGTCTCCAGTGTGATTGCTGTGGTTAAAAAGTCATTTGATCTCTTTATTTTGAACACAAATGCAGGATAACTTTTGTCAAATCTCTGGAGGGTGGAAACTGTTTGGCTGACTTGGAAATTTTGAGGGGTGGGCTCAAATTCAGTGTGTAGTTTTGAATGAAGGTTGAGCTAAATGGTGGTGCTCCTCTTTTATTGTTAGATTGATAAGGCTGGATGATTTGACTCTTGGGAGACACCAGTTAAAGCTTTGCATGGGAAGGGTGCAGGAGGGAACTAGGCCAGTAGCTGCCTACTGCTGTTGCTGAATATCCTCTAGAGCTGGGATAGGCACCTTGTTTCTTTCCAGGTGAGTACCTTGATCTCTTGAGTTGTGGGATCTCCATGCTGGAACTTTTAAAATCAATGATGAAGATATTCTAGTTTTTTAGTGTAATAAATGTGTGTGCAAAGGCAGGGAAAGCGCTAAAGGAACCACAGAATGTCAGAAATGCTGTTTAGTATGTTTCAATGAAATGACTGCCAGGACCTCAGGGTAGGGCTGAGGGGAGTCTTTCATCCATGTTTTGAGGATAGCTTTTGACTGTGAGAACAGCCTAAAGAAAAATAACTTTTGAATACAGAATGTGTAGTCTAGAAGAGAAACGATCCATTCTCCTCCTGTATGTCAGCCCCTTAGTATAAGCAAGAGCAAAGAACCAGTACAAAAGCAAAAAGTGATATATTTGATGAGACTATGGTTGTTGCAGCTGTGAACTGTCATGGAAACATTTATACATTTATTTCCAGACTAAAGTAATCCAGGGGTTGGGGGGGGGGGGGGGGTGGGGGGGGGGGGGGTGGTGGAGGCGGGGAAGGAGCTGTGCACTGTACAACAGTGGTAATGCATTCTCAGTGAGAAAACAAGTTTTGAGCTATGCTTTGCAAAGTTCAGGTCAGGTTTGCCAAAGGATCAAACCAGTATGGTGGGAGTTGAACAGTGATGTGGTTTGCTTTGCATTAGGGACATGAGTTGTCATCCTTCGTAGCACAGCTCTTGCTATTTTAATTGATGATGACCTTTGTGATAACTGTATGAAATTATATTTGCATATGCAGCCAGGTCTGCTGCTCTGAGCAGCCCTCCTGATCTGGTGGTCTGCAACAGACCCCCACAGTAATGTACAGCATCACATTCTCCCTTCAGCCCTTACCTACAGCCTCTCAGTTGGCCCATCACCTGTCCCCAGGCAGAGTTCCAAACTCTCCAGCCTATCCTTGACATAAATAGCTATACCCCCTGCCCACCTGCCCAGCCTGTCTTTCCTAAAGAGCCTATAACCTTCCATTCCAACTTTCCAGTCACAGGAGCCACCCCACCATGTTTCTGTGATGCCAATGATATCATGCGCTTGTATGCACACATCTCTAATTCCTCTTGTTTAGTCCCCATATTAAAGGCATTTGTATAGAGGCATCTCAGCCAAACTCCACTGGAGCTGTTCTGCATCACTCTGAGCATTCATTACAGGTGCTGGCATCCAACTGGTAGAGTTGGGATGGATCAGTGCCACCCCTACAACAAATCTAGTTTAAAGCTGCCTTGACCAGTCTGGTAAATCTCTGACCAAAAATGTATCAGAAGTGTTCAACACAATGCTTCCTCAGTGGTATCTTAAGCTTTATAATCCACCACTGATGCTAAAATTAAAAATGGATTGAGCCATTTTCATTATATATCTGGCCCTCTGGTTCCTCAGAAAGATCTGTACCAAGGAGGGCTCTGCATTTGCAGGGGGAAGATGGGATCAAGGTGGTAGAAGTTGGGGGGGGAACCAGAGATTCTTCAAAGTAGAGAATCAGTGTAGTCAGGCATGCTTGGAACACAGCCTTGCAGCATTTCCAGCAGATAGCTGGATTTTGTATTCCTTTCTTGCCTAGATCTCACTGACAGACTTTTTTTGTTCCCCATACATCAAGCAACTTCCCCTTTGCTTTGGAAATAGAAGGAAAATGCTATTATGGTGAGTGACAACATACTGTAATTGGGGGGGGGGTTATTGGTTGTTTTGCTTTTTTTTTTATACAGAAGGGACTGATTTTTCAGCACTATGTAACCTGCTGTGTACAGAGGAATGACTAAATAAGAGCAGTCTGGGGCTGCTCAGTTTTAGGTTGCTAGTTTAAAGTCAGAATGATAGCGAATTAAGTCTTCTCTGTTACAGCCTACAGAAACCAGATTCTTAATATCATTCGATCAACCATTACACTTCAGAGGTGATCTTTCTGAGATGAAGCTGAGTTCTGTTGGAACTGTTCTGATTTGATTCCTGCTGCTAGAGGATAAACATGACATCTAAAAATCACAGCTCAGTGTCAAGAATTGTGAATCATACCCCTCAAGCTACTAAACTTCCAAAAATAGCTGATGTTGATAAAAACCTGTCTGCTTTACTTAGTGCCAACATCTCCTAAAATCCACAGTATCACAGTACTTTGGGACTCTTTTTTGAAGCCTGTATCCATTTGTCAGTTCTCATTTTTCCACCGATATAGAACTAGTTGCAAGGATGAACTGTTGAGGAGCTGCCAGTCAGTTTGTTGAGGGGTTTTGGTTTTAGACTGAGGCTACAGTTTGTGGATGTTACAGTACCACCAAGACAGTTGATAGAGCTGCACAGGAATGTTTGGTTTGGTATGTGATAGGTGGGCTTCATCTGGGTTCCTCTGTGAAGCATTGCTATCCCTTTTGTGCCAGACATGGAGAAGTCCACTGCTGCATGCCTTTGGATTTTCTACTGCCTGTGTGAGAGCGCATTCACCATGTTCAGTAGACAGTAAATTGAGACTGCTGTTATGCAGAACTGGATTGCTCTGTAATTATGATGCTGGCTTTGGTTTCAAAAACAAAACAAAACAACAACCCCAAACTCTAGTGCAAAAATAGCATTATTTCCCACTTCCGAGAAGCTGGCATGTTTGTATCTGGTATATGTTCACATTTAATAGCCAAATAGTATTGCGACTCTTTTTAAGATGTTAATCTTTCAGTGCAATACAGTTGAGCACTACGTAGTATTACTAATGTGTATAGCATTCACCTTAGTGTGAGACCCCCTGCCATAGCCTGAATGAATAGCTTCCACCTGGGGCAGCCAATTAGGGCTCCTACAGCAGCTGGACCCGCAGGCTTTGTCCATCCCCTAAGACTAGCACTGGCTTTGTTCACAGGGTAACTAAACAGTTGCAGTTTAAGGGACCTCTGTGTATCACACAGCCCAAGGTCAGAGCTCTGCTTAATTGGGGTTTGATTATCTCCAAGGATGGAGTCATGGAGACTCAACCTCTCTGAGCAACCTATGCTGGCCTTTGACTACTCTCACAATAAGAAGTATTTAAAGTTCAGATGAAGTTTCACATCTCAGTTTGTACCTGCTGCCTCTTGTACTGTCATTGGGCTCTCTTGTTTTTATAGCCTTCCATCAGGTGCTTACAGACAGTGACCAGATTTCCCCTCAGCCGCCTTTCCCCCAGCCCCAACAACGGATGTTCTTATCCTTTAATCTTCTTTGTGGCCTTTCCAGCCTTAGCCCATAGTACACATCACCAACTGCTCAGGAAGGAAATCCTGTACCCAGTATAGGAGCTCTAAGCTCTCTCCTCCTCCTCCCCCTTTGTTGCCGCCACTGACCCTCAACACGAGGCTTGCACACCCAAGAACTAGTGTTCTGAGGAGGAATCTTTCCGTACCTTAGACCTTTGGAGTGCTAGGCTTCCCTTTATCCCTTCCCTACCCTAACTTAAGGATACTCCCACTCAGAGGCCGAGGCCACTTATCCCAAGTGACCCAGGCGAACGAGGGATACTTCCATCCCCTATGGAGCGCCTAAAGGCCGCAGCTGGCGCCCGCTGCTGGGCGGGGAAGGAGGCGGGCCCTGTCACCGTGGCGGCCACGCCAGCTGCGTCCCGCATTGGCCGGTTTAAATCCCCTTGGGGCCTTGCTCGGCCCTGCTGTGCCGCGGCGCCGGAGCGGGGAGGACGATGCGGCCGCGGAGCGGGCTCGATCCGGGCTCCGTGTGGGCGCAGCGCCTCCGGCAGCTGGAGCAGCGGTTGCGAGTGAGCCCCGCGCCCCCGCGGCGGGAAGGGAGGCGATGGGCGGGCACTGGGGCGGGCTCTGGAGCGGCAGGGCGGGGCACCTGGAGGGGCTTTGGGCCGCTGGGAGAGGGGGTGAGGCCCCTCCGGCCCCTTCTGTTAAAAACGTGTGTTCTAGCCTTAACATTTGGGCGAGAATCCTCAATACAGCAGCCTATAGGGGTGTGGCAGGGGAGAGACTGCTTCACCTCGGGCTGGGCTGGAAACGGGGCTTCAGAACTGTGAGGAGCCCTCCTCGGCAGAGCGGGCATGCCCCTGTGAGACAGCACCTGCACCGAGAAATAGTCTTGCTGCCGCACTGTTGGAGGTGTCCAGCAGTGCAGCCTTGGAAATGGACATCTGTGTGGTTGTTTATAAACAAATGAGAATGTTCTGAGCTGGTCAGGGTGTTGGGACATCAGGTCCAAGTCATGCTTTGCCTAGAAAGGTTGTACCAGAGGATCCTCGGGGGCCCTTCCAACCTCCTTTTCTATGACTAGAATTTCTCTAAAGGCCATACATCTGAAAAATGTCAGGAGATGGTTTTATAAAGCAAAAGCAGTTGAAACCTTGTACATATGTATTTCTGTGCAAGCAGGCAAAATGACAAGAGTACAGGAAATAAAGAGGTGTTAAATATTACTGTGCTGAGGAGATTGGGGGTAGGTAGTCCTGTCATTTCAGAAGGCTGAGAAACCTGAGAAACAGAGCAATGCAATAATGAAAGCGATCATAATAGTACCATCAAACTCATGGTTCCGTCATTTTTAGTTTTTGGTGGGTTTTGTTCCTTAGGCCAAAGAAGAAAGAATAGTTGTCCTGGAAACTGAAAATGCTGCTCTCCATCTAAAGCTTGCAGAGGTAATTATTGTTTGTTTGTCCAGGAAGAATTCTCATGAAAATAAGATATACGCTGAAATCTGCCTCCTGTTTTCAGGGTTTGAACTCATCACCTGTTGGGGAAATCTATGAAGGGATCAAGGCTCAGCATTTCTGTGTTTCTGTTTGTTTACATATGAATCATAAATGGTAGCAGTAACAATAGACTCCTTAACTAGAAGTTGGCATGCATTTAAGTAATTGCTGTTGGTTTAAATCTATAAAAGTGAACTGAGGGAATGGCTCTGCTATTGTTAAATGCAGCATACTGCTTTCTGCTTGCAGGGAAATGTATGAAAGTCAAAGGTAGGTTTTGAAGGAATACTTTTTAGACATAATTAGGATCATGCTTAAAAAGGACTGTTCTTAGAGTGCAGAAAAGACATTTTGTTAACAGTACACTTACCAGAGATGTCCTTTTGCATGTCTTCATAGCACTGGTGTTACACTTGTGTAAAAATTGCAAGGTACTGTTGCAGAACTTGATCACAGAGCGCACAGCAACAACTGGATGCCCTCATTTCCTTATCTCATTCTACAGAAACATATGTTGTTCTTAGACCATTACTGAAACAAGGAACAGTCTGTGATAATGTTTGGGGTCTTCAAAGGTAGGATTTCCGAGATCTAGAGAATTTTGAGTATTGATCTGCGCTGCTGGAGTAGAGCCAGCTGTGAATATTAGTTGTGATATGGACTGTTGGCCAAGAGTTTCTAATCTGGGCTGAAACATTAGATGGTTGGGTGACCTCAGGAAAGCCATTTGCCTTCCGTGTGGGTCTGTTAACACCTGTGGATAAAAGTGGATTTAACGTTTTTCAAAGCCTGACTGGAAGCAGATGGTACATCTGAAATGAGTTTTGGTAGGTATACAGAATAATACTGTCATTTATTCTGAGAAAATGTTGCTATTATTTTTGTTCTGCTTTATAATATTTACCAAAGACCTTAAATATGTCAACTGATTTTTATTTATTTTATTCTCACAAGCACAAGAAATAGATTTTTCTCATCAGTCAGGTGCATTAGATGTAGGAAGAAGTTATATGAATATTAGATAATGAAACCTTGTTTTCCAGGGTTTCATTTTCAAGCACTGTTTCAGTTTAGTGAAAGATGTGCTGAAAGATACGAGCACCTACAGACACATGAGGAGCATGGCAGTGTTACCACCATCACTCAGAAACAAGGTCAAATGATCCATGGAAATACTCTGCAGTTAACTTTCTGCTGATGTTTCTAATCAGATAGTTATTAAATAGATTTTCACTTCTTGGTTAATTTGCCCCAGCAATGTGAAAGCATGAGCTAAACTGACATCTGCAAAATAGTTCTACCTCAATGAAGAGTCTCTATTAAAAAGAACACTAATTTTAAATAGATGAATTTAAGGTTGTGCAATGTTGCACCGTATCTCCTGGTATTTCATCAGTTATGTTGGCAAAAAAAAAAGCACTTGCCCTCAGCTATCAATCACTGATCCTTCAGATCTGCTGGTGAAGTTGCCTGAACGATTGAGCTGTAACAAGTTCATTCACAGTGACCAGGGTTAACAGAGGTCTTATTCTTAACTTGTAAAAGCTAATTGGATTCATTTTGGATGAAGGGAGTTAGGGAGCTGTGAAGACAAACTTCTGATGATAGCTATAAATTAGGATTTGCAGTGTAAATGTTTGCCTATGGGTTGTATCAGGCTAATAAAAATGTTACCTCTTGCTGTAGACCTTCCCTTCCTTGTATACTTGAGACAATCACAGATACTAGCACTGCCACTGTTTTCTGCAGCCTAGTATGTTTTAATCTTGACAGCATACTGTAAGGGTTATTACTGAACATAAGAAGTCAGATTCTTTCTCTGTATATTTGCTTTTGCCCATTTGGAAATGTGTTTGTCTACCGGCATGCCCCCTGCTTTTGTTAGCAGTCTTTGAGGTCGATCCTGCAGCCTTCCTGTCTTTCCATTCCTGATCCTGCAGCCTTCCATACATAAAGCCAAGTCTGCCAGAAAGGATCCAATTGCAGAACTGATATTTTACTTTGGAGAATGCTATTAAGTAGTTCAGTTTCACTTCTGTTTATAATAAAGCTGACTATAAAAAGTTTTATAGTAGTTTTTTTTTGCCTCTTATGCGTGAGCACAGATTTGCAAGTTGTGACCTTGGAACAAGTCTGATGAAAGCTAAAACTATTTTAATGGAGAAAACCTCAAAACCAAGGCAGGATTTGCAATAAAGATAAACATTATAGTGGAAGTGATGAGAGGTTAACTGCAATGACAGTAGGATAGACCATTCCACTTTTATTGTTCATGTTGAGCAAAATGTGGGGTCAGGGGAACCCTGTGCAGATGGTGGAAAATGTATTAGATATTAAAAGTAGGTTTTAACTAGCTTAAGCTTATTTAACAGTAAGGCTTGAGTACTGCAATTGCTTATATATATGCTTAACTTTTCACATGTGATTAGACCTACTAATTCTGGTGTGCTACTTGTATGCATTTTTGTCAAGTATATATGTAAATACTGTTTCAGAGTAACTGCACTCCTGAAAATCCTTGAAGGAAAAGAGCGTGTGAACACTCTATAGAATCACTCCCAATGTCTGGGAGCTTAAAGCCTGTAAGAAAACAAAACAAAACAAAAAAATAGAGGAGTTGTTGTTTTGGAGTTTTGTTTTTTTTGTCTGGGCTTTTTTTTGTGTGTGTGTGTTTTGGTTTTTGTTGGTTTTGGGTTTTTTTAATAATCTTTTTCTGCTATTTCATTGCCACAAAACAATTCTTTATATTAGTGCTAAGGTGTGTAGTTGTGCAGGATCTCCAGTTGCACTTAGAAAATGCATGCTTTGTGAATGTGAAAAAAGCCACATGAAAAGATTGGTTTAGATAAGTGAAGTACTTTTCTTGGAAAAGATAATCTATCTCTATTTTAACAGCTCCACGATGTTGTATTGTTGTTTTTGCAGGTATCATCTGTAGTTAAACTGCAATTAAATGTTTACTTTTTACCTACCATTATCAGATGTTGTAAGTACATTTAGCACTTTTATGTTGTACTCTTCTATGCTTTGTTAATTTAAATAACAGGGAAATGCAGGCATAGAATTTATGGTCTCAATAAAGTAGGAAATAAGTCTGTGCTAAAGACAAGGGCATTCCAAAAATAAAGGAAGAGGCTGTTAGTACTAGCTAAGGATAGATGTCAACAGGTGGCAGGGAAAAGTAGGTGAAGAAGTTGCAGCTCATTTTAAGCACATGGACTGTCAGTAAATGATGAAAATACAGTTTGTCATATAATATAGATTTTGTCATATTACAGCAGTTTGTCATATAATACAGATTCTGTCATATTACAGAATTTCACAAGTACTCTACAGAGATCTTTTTTGTGTTCATGACCTTCAGTATTTAAAGTTGCACTATTTCTTTTTATTTCAACATCTCAAAAAATTTGCCATAAGAATTGCTTTTGCATAATAAGTAATTTTAGATTATTAGAAAGCATTTTTCTCCACATCCTTTAAAAGTTGCTTTGGTTGCTTTGATCACTGAAGACACAGCTTAGTGCTTTATTGGTACCATTTTGCACCACTGCAACTCTACAGAATGTAATGGAATTGGTGTCAGCAGAAAGCTAGAGCAATGAACACTAAGTTGGGGGCTGTGTATTACCACCTTCTTCAGGACTTTAGCAGCAAAAACGTGTTTATGTGTGTCCTTGTTCTATTTCATGTCCTTTCAGAGACCTTCCTGCACTGAATGTAGTTACCAGAAGACATTTAAACCAGCTGTGTAACCAGCCCTTTCCCCTAAGTGAAGGCAGAATTTTAACCATTCATATCCACCTCACACATAAGTAAGAGGTCTTAGGTACTGCAAACGCGTATTAGTAATCTGCTGCTGAGGTTTGCCACCCTAAGGAAGTAGAATGTTCTGATGTTAGCCAGTTGCCTCAAGGTGATCCTTCACATGACTCAGAAAAAGGTAAAAGCAAAGAAATTACGTGTTTACAACATCATATGTGATCAGATAGTTGAATTAAAAATGTTTACAGGGACAAAGGGGACAGAATGCAACAGAAAACATGAGCGCTTTAAGGTGATTATTAGCTGATTTGGGTGTTTTTTATTTAAACAGTATCAAGGGTTGGCTGGAAGAAGCACTAATGAAGTATTGCAGCTCTACTCTGCTCATAGCCAGCAGCAGAAATTGCAGAAGAGTTCTGCTGTAATCCAGATGTATGGAGCAATAAAGGTAAAGACATTTAGTAATCATGCAGGCATGATCTATGTCCTGAACATTTACGTGCTTATCAAATATAGTAAAACGCAGGAAACAGTCAGATATGAACATGATCTATGGTTTTACTGTGTTCACAGCAGTGCTTGCAGTAATGTGTGGTCATGCCTGAGTTGGCTTAAAATTTGTAGTGGTTTTGCTGCAATAGGTTGCAAGATCACCTGAGAAGCTGGTAGAAGTGGCTGCTTCTGAGCTCCAGGATCTTTATATAGGTGCTGTCAATATCCAAGCTAAATATTTGTGTACTCAAAACCTTGCAGTCCCTGATTTGACTATCATATGGACATCCCCTAAAAAACGGTAATTGTGATATATTTTAACCAGATCCTTTGTAAAAGCATTGGAGAGCTCCATTGATTTCACTGGGAGTTTTGCTCTGGCAGACCTCACCAGAGGGAGTAGTTCGCTCTATGCTCACTCCTCTCAATTTTGCATGAAAGAGACTGGAACTGTTCTGCCAGTGCCATAATATTTTCTTTTTTTAAAGTACTTATTCCTTAAGTTACCCTGTAGAATAGTGAATTCATTTTAGAGACACTCACAAATGACAGCTTTTCTCAAGGCAGCACTGAATGTCTGTGTAAAATAACTGAAAGTACCTAGGGAAAGAAAGCTGATTCTTAACAGGCAGAAGGATGTTGTGTAATTGTAGCATAGTTGAACTAGATGATTGTTGTAGTTCCCTTCCAACTGAACTGTTCTGTTCTAATTACAGTGATTCTGTTCAGTAAATTTTATGGTGGTGTTTCACATTTTAGGTTAGTTAGAGCAGCAGAACTTCTTGTGATGCAATAACAGTGGACTGAGATGATTTGCTATCAAATATCAGTACTTGTTAGGTGAGAAAGCAGAGCTCTCCAAATAAAAGTCTAGATTAATGGTAATCCCATACCCGTAGTAAAAAACAAAACAAAAAGCTAAAACTTCTTCCCAGTTCTACTTTGTGGCTTTTAAGAGTGAGAAATGCAGTGATTTTTTTCCTTTTAGTTTAGATTATGTTTTATTATTGAAACTAGTCTATTAACACAAGCTCTGTACCCCCACTGGAAAAACAAAATGTCACAGAATACAGCTATTCTCATAGAAAGGCCTCAAACTGGCTTATTTAAGAAATGACTTAGAGTGAAGCTTAGCAAGTACCTCCCAATTAAAGTGTGGAAACTGAATGCCGTAATGGATATATGGATCACAATTTTTCATTGGTAATTCTGGATATGTCTTGTAAGTGGACAGAATGCACACATGCTCACACACACTTATTTTTATTTGATGAAATAAGAAAGTCTTTGTTATAACTGAAGCTTTGTTATGGTCGAAGCATGTACCACAACATGGTAAGGATTCATAAAGCCTTTTTAGGAAATGCCATTGCTAAATATCTTGCTGGATCGTTCTCTAAACATGCTTAAAGATATACCGAAGACTTTCCTTCACCAACTAGAGGGTCGTTCCTGATGCTGAGATCTCACCATAATTATCTGTGGTGGTGTTATGTTGATTCTTCTTTAACTGCTGCTGTTGTGTCTTAATATTTTTTGTTCTTGCTGAGAAGAGGCTTAAGCGCGACCTGAAGAGCCTCCATTCATTCGCTCTTGAACTTTCAAAAGACTTTCAGCGTCAAAGCAAGACTTATCTTTACCAAGTTTTGACAGCAGTCCAAGGGATTCAGCTGCAAAATGAAGCAGTGCAAAGTAAGGCTCATTACACTTATATTTCAAACATGTAACACCAACAATGTCATTGTTAAATGTTACTAACGTTAAAAGGTCGAGTTTGATTTTTGAGAGTCATTTAAATTGTAGTACTTGTTTTTTTTGTTTGACATTAGATCAGCAAGGAGTTATGATGCATTAGAGTACAAATAAATCTGCAGAGGTTGTGACTAATAATTTGGATTTAGCTTTTGTGTTGATTGCAGCTGCTACTAGACTGCTGCTGAGCTGGCTCAGCTGTAACATTGTAAATCTGAAATTCTCAGCCTTGTTATCTGGACTATTTTAGAATAGCTGAAGAAAGAATGTGTTGCTTTAGTTGAAATTTGTCTGCTTTTGACTGTACCAGAAAAGGACTCCAGTGACTTCAGAGATTTCTGAAAATACTGTCTGAAATTAGAACAGACTGGATTCTTAATATTTCAGTGTATCATAGAGAAATTTTTTCTTGCAAATCAAAATCAGCTCACTAGATTTTCCATTATACTGATGTAACTGTTTGTGTGACCACACACAGATCAGGGAGCTAATCCAGGACAGAGGTTCACCTGGCTCTGGAAGCAGTTGTGTGAGCACAGCAGGAGGTTTGGTGGAGCACTGAATGGGAGGGGCTGAAAGGCTCCTTAACCAGGACTGTCAATTAAAGAAACATAACAATTCTGAACATGTTTGCAAGCCATCACTCTTCTACAGCTGTTAGTCTAATTATTGATGAAGAGTCTAACTGTGCTCAGTGATGCTTAAACAAAAAAATCATCATTCCCAGTTCCCCAAAGGCTTCCATATAGGTCAATGAGATGGGCAAAGTGTGGGGGAAAGAGATGTCTATAATGGCTGCAGGCATGTAGTGGCTACTTCTCTTGAATAATGAAGAGCAGGTTATTAGTATTAAAAACAGATGAACCCAGTGGCTGCCTCTAGGTTATGGACCAAAGTACAATTTCTGAATAGCTTGCAGCTGATGTCAAGCAGAAAACTAGAAAAATGTTAAGTAAGTCTTTATAATTATGTAACTGTACTTTCAGAAAAATTAGAAGTTCAGAAATAATTGGTGCATCAGAAAATTTGCGGAGCTTCTGTTAAAGAAATTTTTCTGTGCTTCATGTAAAGCTTTACAGAAGATGGACATTAAAACTAATGGTTCACTCTTACAAATATCAATATGCCATCTGCTAAATGCAGCAACTTGACTCATTCTCTGCAGATTGCTGTCCTTCACCTCTCTGCTTAAAAGCCCTGGTGTCAAATTAGGAAACCCCAAGGCTGATTTCTGTTTTCATAGTCATCTTCACCATAGGGGGGCCTGGTTAGAAAAAAATATTGAGTAATTAGGGCTTAAGTTAACTAAAACTGGATGTGCAATGTCCAGTGGGTTTCTCAGAGTCCTCATTAAGAGACCATTTAAGTACTGAAACAGAGTAGGTTTTGTTTTTTTCTTTCAAGACTCAAGAATGGCAGAGTACCCTTAGCACCTGTTGCTTTACTGCTTATTCAAGAGACTTCAAAATGTGTGTACACAAATTTATAAATGAAGATGCATATTATGGAGATTACTTAATCAATGGATTCCAACCTCCTGTTTTGAAAAATACTGTATGATTAGGGGTCAGTGACTGTACAGATCACTTTGACAGTTTATTGTAACATATTCACGTGTGATTCTCCAAACAAAGACATACTAGTGTTACTCCACATTTTTCTTGTTAATTTTCTCAGTGAAACTCCTAGATTTTGATTCTCCAACTATTGACAGCATGTATATTACAAAAATAAGATCTGTGAAATCTCAAATGTAGACAGATGTCCCTTGAATTTGTCAGATTTTTAGTTACACCAGCGACCATAAATCATAGCTGTGACATGCTGAGATTTTAAGTCTGTTCCTTTGTTTGAAAGGTGCATACTGAGACTGGTGGCCATCCTGCTAACTCAGCTCTCAGGCTATGGTTTTGACTGATACTCTACATCTTCAAACTGCTCACCAATTAATGCTGGAGGAATTGATATCCTGCTGGGGTTCCTAAAAGCTTTCTTTTTATGCAAGTTTGCAGTCACATTGTGTGCCTTTGGGCTAAGTGTTCATTTTAGGCCTGCTCAGTGTTCATGTAATTGTAATGAAATACAACTATTTGTGAAGTTAGAAGGATTTTGTAATGACCATATTGCTCTCCCCGGTTTTGTGAAGCAGACTCCCTGGGGTTCAAAAGATCAATCTTTTTAATGAAATCCTACCCATGAAGTGAGTGCACCTATCTCGAAGGGGATCCTTATAGCTGTTTTACAGGATTAGTAGCACTGTAAATGAGGATAAATGATAGGTTAACTTCTTGTAAAGGTAGCTGGCATGAATCTAATAATCTGCAAATATGTCATGAGCCTTGCAAGTGACAGCCCCATTTAGAAGCAGGTTGCTTCAAGTTTAGGTTTCAGGCTTCACTGACACATAACATTAACTAAATCAGCACATTTGAACTGCCTTTAAATATTTTGTATTTTTGATTGTTTTTCAAGATTTCATATGTATACCTTTGGTAATTATCTGTAATTTCACACAGCAAGAAGTATGATGGGATTTTTCAGGTGTCTAGTAAATCCGGAACTAACCCTCCTAATTAAAGTTTGGTAGAAGTTAAAAAGGTTCATGCTCGTATTTCATGAGGTGCTACTGGAAAGTTCATTTTGTGAAGTAAGAGTTCAGTTCTTTGAAACTGCTTTCTTCTAGTGTTTCAGATAAAAGCTTTTGATCTTGAGCAGTCTCTACAAGAGCTGACAGAGAGATACGAGAAAGAAAAGCAAAAGAGGAGAGCTCTACATAACAGCTTAGTTGTAAGTATATTTAATGACAGATCATTTTCTTATTTTGTTGTGATCACCATTTCCTCGCCAATAAAACTAATGAATATACTTTAAATGAATATATCACCTGCCCCAGCTATCATATATAATACATTTCTTTGCTGAGGCCCATTTGTCTTACAATAAATCCCATTCTTTTTACACAAGTATCTTCCAAATGCACTAGTACAACATTTTGCCTTAAGGAGTATCATCCATTTTGAATAGTGGACAAAACTTGAGTTTCTTCATCCTCTTCTCTAAATTGCTTCTGAAATTGTTTCAGAATTCATAAAATGATCAACTTGAAATTACAAAAATATCGTGTGTTATTTTTCCAGGTATGCCTCTCTGTATCCTGCTCTGCCATAGCTGTATCCTGCTCTGCTGTTAGTGATGGTTCATTTGGAATTAATATTTTCCTTTTTGCCCTTTAACTTTGCTCTTCCTCTCTACCCCACAAATGTCTAGTTTTGGGTTGCCTGATTCAGGACCTGATTTTTAGAAACACAAGCCACTCCCAAACAAAATTCTTTTAAGTTCTTCTTTCTGGGAAAGTGAATGTCTGTTAAAAAGTACTTACTTTCCAAACTCTGCCTTGTGTTGCAGTTTACAGAAAGGCTGTTCCTCTAAGGCAGTGGGGAGTTAATGCCAGTGATCACTAGCCATTACAGGCAAGCTGTTTTAACTGATATAAAATGAGAAGAACTGATCACCAACACAAAGGAAGAAAAAACACCAGGTCAGATAAACTGAAGTCTGAAATAGCCTGCAGAGAAAAATTACTTAATGGCTTTTTAGTCATGTAAGAACACACCGTGGAGAGGAAAAGGTACAAAATGTTTTATATTCTACATCTTCCTCAGGGGTGATGGAAGAGAAATGGAGTGTGTAATCTTGTATGTTGAGTTAATAGAAGAAGCTCAAGTAAAAAGGAGACTGAAGAAATGGCTCATATTGAAAGCCCTTTTCTTGTTTGTTTGTTGGTTTTTTTTTTGCCACATAGACTGGAGAGGGCTGCACCATTCCAGAGCTCTAAAGAGCCTGTAATTCCTCAAGTGTTTTTTCCTAACTTCTCAAGGCAAATGATATTGATGCTACTTTTCTCTCCGCAGAGACTAAAGCTGTGATGTTGTACACGCCTGATTTCCTTAACATGTTCCTGTCTGCTTCACAAATCCAGTGTATTTACTCTCTCCAGTAGCTTGTGTTAAATACATCTTAATATTCTAACCCTAGGAACTGAGAGGAAATATCAGAGTCCACTGCAGGATCAGACCTTTGCTACCTTTTGATACCGCTGCTGGGCATTTGGTATCACAAGACAGGTAATTTATTTTGGCTGTTAGATCTTAGCTGACTTGTAATTAATATACAGAGAAAATAATATGTATGTGAGAACAACTGTCTTACTGATTTTTCTGGTTTTATGCATGTGGGGAGATGATGATGGTATCATAAATACTAACTAACTGCATTTTCCTTTTCTTTCTCCTGCTAAATTGGCTTTAGCCAATCTCATCCCCTTGTCTAAAAGTATGTCCATCTGCATAGAAACCCATAGCCATTCTGCCAAGCCAAGATTACCCCTGGCTTTGCAGAAGTAGCACAGCTGCAATCAGTTTAGAGTATATTCACAATCCTTTACAAATTCTGGGATACAATAATGGAATAACTGTCAGAAGACATGGGTAAAGAAACACACTTGGTATTACAGTTGTTTTGTTATGCTGTAGAACAGGTTTTCTGTCTGTACAAACACTGGTAGTTCTATTTCAGTGTAATTTGGCTCTGCATCCCTAATTCATAATACACTTACTGAAGTGTCAAAACAAAACATTCCAAGATCCAAAAAGAGAAGAGGGATTAGATGCAAGTATGTGCTATAACAAGCCAAATTCCCCATAGATGACCAACATGAAAGGGTGAAGGGACTGAAACACAGAGAAAGAGAAAAAGGGCAAATCTAGGTGGGTGGCTAGAAACCAGTAACACTGTCATTTGCTGTATCAGTAAATAACTGATTTCGGGTTTTATTTTACTTTTGCTGGCTGGTAATTCTGAAAGAGTACATTCAGTGTATTAAAGTTTATTAATTTCTGGAAAATCTTAACAGAAATATAGAATTGTTTTAATTAAAACAACATCAAAAAGAGTAGACAGAAATTTCAAGGATCCTGAAGGGGAAACTTGCATTGATCTGTGCTTGCTATAGCTGGGAAGGAATCCACTTACTGTTTTTGTTGCTCTATGGACTAGTGCAGTCAGATTCTGAATGCAGTGTCAAACAGGATGGACTAGGACAAACAAACAATCACTAAGACTAACTCTTCTTAATATATCAAAAAGTAATAGAACTAAAACTTAATTGTAAAACTAAGGACTGATTCTCAAAACACTTGCTCACATGAATGCATTTATACACCTCAGCTATCCCAGTCAGTTTTGGGGCTAGTAATAGATGCAAGAACAGGGACAAATATCTAAAAAGAGGGTGTTTTCACTTTAATGTTCTAAAGTGAAAGCCACTTGTTACAAGCTCACATTACAATCTCAACACAAAAGCATGGCTTGCATGTGATTTAGTCTTAATTGGGTTTGTTCTATATTTCTTTTTTTAAAGCAGATTATTTTGCTTGGTTGCACATTAATTTGTTTTTTTATTCACAATGAACTGTGGTGTTAGTATGTACTTTGGGACGGTGTGTAGCTCACAGACATTTTGAGTGTTGACTTACCTAAATGTAATGCTTATCTTGAAAGGTGCTGGTCTTTTCCTTACTGGCTTTTTTTCCCTTTACAGGCAAAGAAACTTTTCAGAAGAAGTGGCATATGCAACTGATGATGTGAGTATTTGATGGTAAAATTTAAAAGCACATTCACAGACACTAGGACAGAGAAACAAGAGGGACACATGAGCCATGGGTACTTTGTTGTCAGGCGTTGCCCAGCTTTCATTACCCACGGGTGCAATAGCAGGTGATTCATGCTATTTTCATCCTCACTCTTTGTAATAGTAATACCTTGGTGCTTCTGCTGGTGCAGTCACCCATGAAGTGGAGGTTGTGTGTTTGCAGTAGTCAAACCGCCGCAGGCTTCCTGCAGTCAGTTCCTTGGAGACACTTGTGTTTGCTGTAATGATTTCTAAAATTAAGTCAGGCTTTTTTCATTTTATTATTGCAACACACCTCATGCATTAGGAGAGAAACACGGTATCTCATGGGTCACAACAGCCTACGTGGTACTGTAGTCAAGCATATTAAAGTGTTCTGGCTTAGATCTATCGAAGGAGAATGAACACTGAGGTTGCAAATCCAGATGACATTCCAGCATTAATGGAGGCCATTACCAAGATATAAAACTTAAACAGGCACAGTAGCGTGAGCTAAGGTCAAAATATTAACTTAGGATTTAATTTTCTTTGCTGCCAGTGTTCTTAGTTACTGCTCACTGTTACTTACATGGTGATTAGCTAAATTCTCCTCAATAGTATCATGATTAAAATATTGCTAAAGTGACCTACAATGCTCTATGCATTTAAATCTTCTAAATTGCAGCTTCATTAGGCAGATCACTCTTGCATAAAGTAGATACTTATATGTGTATATATATATATATGCAATTAGGAAACTAATGGAGCACATGAAGTCTCAGCTAAGAAACAGTAGATATGCCAGGAGATTTAAAATCAGGGATCTGTAATGATAGATGTATTCTGGATGTCATGACCCATTTATTGTACTATAAAATGCCATGACCATTTCTGACCTGTTAAATTTTATTCATAAAGATTAAATTAGATAGTATTTAGGTTTTGGATTCTTTAATATAGATAACTGATATATTACAGTACCTATATACTTACAGGCAAAGCAGTGTATGCTTGCTGATGCCAGTTCGTGAATTCCAGTTTGTATGAAATAGTGATCTGGTAACCTTCAGTATGCTAACCTGTTCTCATGTTTAAAAATCCTTATGGAATATTGCAGGAAAATACATGTATGCATGGACTTGTCTGTAAAACAAAATTTGCAAGGTACTAACTTCCTGTATTTGGAAAACACCACAATGACTTAAAATATTATGTTGGTTTGCATTGGCATTTGGCTAAATTGCTTTCTTGTTTTGATCAAACACCTTAAGTCTTTGTGTTAATTTCTTAGTATAATTTTTTTGATATTTTTTAAGAAAAAAAATTGTTAGAAGCACCCAAGTTCATGAGGGAGGATAAAAGTGCACTGACTTTACAAAAAGAAGTCAATTTAGACCAATCTAACAAAAGTAAACAGTGTTTATTGCCTGCTTATTTTGCTTTTAATACCTCACAGTGTTATTGTTTTGGCTAGGATAAATATGCAATTTTTAGATAAAATTATGGGGCTTGTCTTGTTATTGAGATTTTAGTTGCAACGGAGTCAAAGCTCATATTTCTGGAAACAAATTAACCATTTCTCAGACAATTATTTATGATTTAAAGAAAACTTTAGATCAAGGTGAAGGAAAGCTGTGTTGGAGGTGCTGAGTTTATTAGTTTTGCTTTTTAGATCATGGCTGTCTTTCCAGATTTTTCCCTGAAAATACTGTATACATGTAATATAACCAGGCAGTTATATGCCATGATCACTTTAGAACTAATGTGTGTTAGAAAGCAGAGCGGTATTTGAGAACCAGTCACAATGCAGTCCAGCATACATACAGGAAACTATGGTTGGATCTTCTGGACAAGCTTCAGCTTGACATTACTCCTGAATTGGATGGTAGCTCTAGTAATCTGCTGATCTGTTTCATCTGTGCTACAACTTTGTCATGTTATAACTAGAATTGAAAGACCACAACAGAAATGGCAGTATAAAGCAGCTTTGCTTCTCTTCTGCCATGAGCTGTGTTAGGTCTTCAAATTGACTATAGATGGGCAGAACTGATACTTGGACAGAATAGTTGAGTATCTATTTGTGAGACTGAGACTACTTGAATTCCATTTAGTCTTTGAGTGTTTTTTCTTTTGTTTAGAGATTCATATAATTCTTCAAAACACATATGTGATCTTTACTATAATCTTGCTTATCTTGTCTAGAGAATCATTATTCTCATTCTAAGTCTAAAAAGAGAAAAGTATTTCATTTCAGGCTTTGAGCTACTTTAAGATTTGTGAAGTTTTCTTTTTACTTTCCCATGTATGCCCAACTCAACATTTCCAACGGTCTGAGCCTTTCTCCTATAGTTTATTGTACTATAATGGTGGAAAGTAAGTACATAGTGCGCATCAGGTTGAACTGCTCCACATGGATTAGGGAGCAAGCTTGGATGTCAGGACAGATTGTGGATATTTATGAAGTATACTTTTGTCATTTCAAGGATTCATATTGCCCTGAAAGAACTCAGACTAGGAGTATTCCGTGACTCTGGGGTGAAAAAGAGATTTTTCAGTGTTCTTGTGAGACACCTGTCATAAGCACTATTGACAGGGAAACTTGATGAGATTTTGTAGGCCAGTAGCAGTAGTGGATATATTTTAGCCTGTACTGATCTCCTGAGAAAGGAAGGTCATTACAAATGCTCATATGGAGCTTCAGCCTATTAACAATTCTTCTGTTACTGTGTCATCCAGATAGCTTTTTATGTTCCATTTCTCACCTTATGGAAAGCTGGTCTGCAAGTACATCGATCTCTGAATCAGAAATGTGTTCCATAACAATATAATTCTTTTCCTTTTTTTTAATTTTCTTTTTTTCTCCTTCCCCCAGTGCCTGTTGGTTACTGATCCTATTATAATTTTGGTGTCAGGCCATTCTGTAGCAAAGTGTTGTACTTACATCTGCACTGCGGCTAAATTTGCCAGTATTGGGATGGGTAACAGCTCATTCTGTAGAGTGAGTGTAGTCATCATTAGTTTGATAATGGTTGGCCTTCTCCAAAGGAGAGAAATACTTGTAAACTCAAACCAAGAAATTTGGTTTTTATTAGCCATTTGCATGCTGGACATAGTGTTATGCAATTGTTATTTGCTCAGTTGTTTACAACTTCAGTCTGTAGCAATACTAATTTGAAGGCCATTAGTTTAGTACTCCAATCTACTTGTCTGAAGCACAGTAGGAATTTCAGCACTCCCATCAAATGCAGTAATGTTACCCCAGGTTAGTAAACTAGGAAACCTCCTTGGATTAGATGAAGTATTTTCTGTGCTTTTCTCTGCACTTAAGCAACATTTGCCAGAAGGAACAGACGGGCACAGAAGTTGCTATGTAAGGAATGTCAGGCTGCTGTGACTGTACTCTGGTAATAGTTTAAAAGAGTTACTTACTTACTGTCAGAAAACTACTATGTAATCCATCCGGAAAGTGGATTTCACTATAAACTCATGTAATTCCGGCTATTGTGCTAGTGCAGATCTTTCTCACAGTGGTGGTCTAGCGTGTTACTCTATAAAGTGCACATCTTCTGCTCAGTTCTAGGCACAAATGTACATAAAATCAGTCTGAAAAGATACTGTGAAAACTGGCTCTATAACAAAAAAGAGTTTTTTGCCTTTTTTTTTCTACCTGTGGTGGCAGTTAGGGAGGTTGGATTTACTTGCCTGTGGCTTTCTACGCACATAAGTTCAGGTAAGGGTTTGAATCATCCTCATGAACTTAAGTGTGCATATTTTGTGTTGGTTGGTCTTTAATAATCCATGTCTTGAGATCATGTCTTGTAGTCTTGCTGGTTTCACTGCAGTGTACAGACTGTACAGACTCACATGTTGGTGACTGCTGGAGAAGGACCTTGGACTTCATGATCCTTTATTACTGCTGTCAGCTCAAATGTTAGAAATGATAAATATTTCTTTGTGTTTCTGTGTGAGCCTATGATATTAACTATGACTATTTTGGTTTTGTCTTAGGAAACTGTCCTTGTAAAGTGTAGCCGTCCTGGTCATGCATCAATAAACAAGACTTTTCAGTTTGAAAGGTAGGTAGTCGTATGCAGCAATCTGGATTGCTGGAAGTTCTATATAATCAGAGAATCACAGAATAGTTAGGGTTGGAAAGGACCTTAAGATCACCTGTCTGACCCTCCAAAAGATATCATGATGGTTGAAGTCCCTCATGAGGACAAGGGCCTGCGAGCGTGAGGCTGCTCCTATCTTTCTGTTGTGAGCTACATGCCTGCTACATGTTGTGAGATAGTAAAATGTTATCCCCATTTTAAAGGTAAGGAAGTGATGTTTGCTTTTCAGTACTTAAAGGGTGTTTGTAAGAAAAATGGGGACAAACTTTTTAGCAGGGCCTGTTGAAACAGGACAAGGGGTAATGGGTTTAAACTAAAATAGTGTAGATTAGGACTAGATATAAGTAAGACAGTTTTTACAATGAGGGTGGTGAAGCACTGGAACAGGTTAATAGGTAATCCCTGGAAACATGGGTGGGGGTCTGGCTGGATGGGGCTCTGAGCAACCTGATCTAGTTGAAGATGTTCCTGCTCATTGCAGGGGTTGTGGACTAGATGAACTTTAAAGGTCCCTTTCAACTCAGACTATTCTGATTCTATGAACTGAGGTGGATTGCATGACTTCAGCATTAGACATACAGCATGACTGAGCAAAAAACTGGACTAAGGACTTGTAAGACTTTGTCGAGGTTTAAACCCAGTCAGACAGCTTGTTCACTCACTTCCCCCCCTTCTTGCCCTCCCCCTACTCTGCAGCTTGTTGCTGGGGACTCCATACAGCTGCCTTCCATCTCCGACTCTTCCAAAGCACTGGAGGGGCCCAGTGGACTAGATACTTGCCCATACTGTCCCACACACCCTGCCACTCATGACTGTCCAGCTTTGGGGAAAATCTCCTGGTCCTCCTATATCATCGTCTAACCCCAGACAAGACCCAAACCTGACTCTGCTTAACTTTTGAGATCAGACAAAATGGTTGTGGGTAGAACACAGCCTGTGTGTGTGCCAACATGCTGATCCCCATCACAATCAGCAGGCAGGTCCCAAGGATACCCAAAGGCCATTCAAAACCTTCAGAACTCTCACACGATGCTGCTGTACTTGTCACTGGGGCTGGGGTAGCTGCTGTGCTTGCCGGCTCTCCCACCACCAGCTTCTCTTCTGAGTCCAGCTCTTCCTCCTCTGCCCTGCTGGGAAATGCTGCGTGGTCTCCTGCATCCTCCTGGGGCTCGGCGGGCGGCTTCCGGGGAATGCTCTCGGCCGTCGCGGGGCTGGGCTCGGCCGCGGGGCTCGGCTCCTCCGCCGCGTTCTCCCGCTGCTCTGCAGCCGCCTCCTTCCTCTCCTCGACCGCCCCGACCTCCTCCACCGGCAGCCGTCCCCTCGCGGCCTCCGGCCCCGCTCCCTCCGCGGCTTGGTCCCCGGGGCCGCTCTCCCGGGCCGCTTCAGCAGCCGCCGGCTCCCGGGGCCGCCCCCCCGCGGCTCCCCGCGGCCTCACGAAGACGGAGGCGAGGGCGAGGGCCAGGACGGTGAAGAGCAGCCGGACGGCCAGGTACAAGTCCACGGCTGCGTCCGTCCCGCCCTGCTGCTGGAGCCCGCCCGTGTTACAAGTCATTGCCATAAAGTACAGTGAGACAAGAACCTTAGCCCAAGCCCCACACCTGATAAACACTAACACAGCGAATACCGGCTCTAAGTAATGTACTGCATTCTGAAACTGTGAGATCAAGAGGAACAACTCTGAGAGCCAATAAATCAGCATTGTGACAAGTGACTATTAATTATTAATCTGGTCAGATCTGTCGTTATCTCAACCCTTCGAGCCCCACGTTGGGTGCCAAAAGAACTGTCGTGGTTTAAACCCAGTCAGGCAATTAGTTCACTCCCCCTGCCTTCTTGCCCTCCCCCTGCCCCCGGGGAGACAGAGAGGAGAATCGAAAAGAATGCAACTCCCACGGGCTGAGATAAGAACAGTTTAGTAACTAAGGTATAACACAAATCACTACTGCTACCACCAGTGATAATAATGATAAAGGAAATAACAAGGGAAGAGAATACAACACCTCACCACCAGCTGACCAATAACTTGCCCCCCCCTCCCCCAGCCCGACCAAGCACCGACCCATACTTCCTCCAACCCCGCAGTCTCCCAGCCCTTCCAGGTAACTCTCCGTTACCTCCTGGGCATGACGTGCTGTGGTATGGAATAGCTCTTTGGTCAGTTTGGGTCAGGTGTCTTGTCCCCGCTTCCTCCCGGCTTCCCCTCCTCCCTGGCAGAGCATGAGGCTCACAAAATCCTTGGCCAAACCAAAACATCATTGTTATCAGCTCTGTTCCCAGGCCAAAAGTCAAAACAGTGCACTGCACCAGCTACCAAGAAGGAGAAAAATGACTGCTACTGTTGAACCCAGGACAGACTTGAAGATGAGTTGTGTTCCTTTTAAGTTAGAGTTAAAATAGCCTGAACATGGACAGCAGGGTAGAGTAGTGGCATGTAAATCAGTGCTCTCCAAGGGAAAGGCTGTGGTGTGACCACTTACCTTATTAGATGCTCAATAATCCAAATAAACGAGAGATTTTGAATGCACTGGCTGTGGTAAGGGTTTTAGTTGGTGTTTGTGCCTTATGGGCCACCAGAGAGTCAGTCCACAAGACAGAAAACTGCAGGGAATCAGGCTGAAAAATGCCTTATGTACTTTCAGAATGGAGCTGATCTGAACTTCTGAAAATAGGAATGAAGGATTAAATTAATACAAATGAGATTTCTGTCAATGAAGAAATAGCGAAATTTGCCCTATGCCTTTTTCTAGTGCAAACTTTGTGTCTGTACCTCACAATGCCTCATACAGTAGGCTCTCTACCCTGAACCATGCCTCAGAACCCTCTGGAAACATAACACATAAGGACAATTTCATGCTTCCTTGCTCGGAGACAAAGCTTGATTTAAAGTCAGATTTATCCAGCATGAATTATCTGTCCTGGTTTAAACTTAAGTTCTGAGCCTGCTCAGCCTGAACTGCTGTAGGTTTGTTAAATGTTGCCAGTCATTCACCCTTTCCTTGTAGAATCCTTCTAAGATGCTGCCTTTTTCTGCTTATGAAGACTGGGGACTGCTGTTTTATAGGCCACCAAAACCTGAAAATTCCCAAGATAATGCAAATCTTGGGGAAGCTTTAATGACCCCATAGGTTATAGGACTCCTTTGATACCAGGCATAAGAGATTTGTCAAGGTACATGGCCTCATCGCATGTATGCTAAGCTACTCAAAGTAATTTCTTTCACTCTCCAGCTATACCTAATACAGCCGTGCCAGTTGAAGTAAATGCAGAATTCAACTCCGTAGAGCAACACCACTAATAGTGTTGACACAGAACTCCAGAGATGCTGTGACTCTGGACATGTGGTGGAGATCCTGATAATCAGGAAAAGGGTTAAAAAAATGTAAATCCCCCAAAGAATGCAGTTCTTGGGGAATGTTTTTCTAGTGTCCCAGCACAGCTCTTTTCTATAAACAGAAGAGCATATGGTTCTTATGAACTCAAAAATGTTTATTTTTTTAGCAACGTTTATGGAACTAATAAATGTCAAAATATTTGATTTCAGCTCACGAAGAAAATTCCAGCTTTCAGCATGTTATGCTTTTATAGTTTTATTGGCAAATCAGTTAGCAAAATAAAAAAGATGATCAAAATTTCAAGGCAAAATTAACATTTATCACTGCACAGGCACAAATCTATCATCGTTCTGGTAAAAATACATGGGCTTATAGAAAGAGATTCCCTGGGTTTGCTGCATCTTCCATGGTCTCAGATTAATTAAGTGGGTGTCCATGCCTCAGCTAGTGATGTGATTACAGCATAGCATAAACTAGTTGAAGACAATTTTAAGCTACTTCATTTGGGTACCAGTAGCATATGAATCACAGCACCTAAGCAGTGGCAATAAAACCTCTTTAGGAAGTTGAGTAAACATTTGGAGTAGTTACTGTAACATGGAGCCCTGTGTCTTTCCTCTATAGAGCTACTAGAAACTGAACCTGACATAGTTAGCTACTGCTGTAGTTCTTCACAGTGCAAACAGACTACTAAGACTGGTTTATTCTACCTGGTAACGGTTGGTAGCAAGACAGTATGAATGTTCTCATTCCTAAAATAACTAAGTTGTAGGGGTTTTTTAATGTAGTAGCTCTGAGATGTTTTGATATGTCACGAAAAATAACATCATTTCAACACGTACCGAGTTAGAGACCTAGCTGGTTAAAATGGAGGGCTCAGTGCTAATAAGTATTTTATGAATTGTAGATGATAAATTAAGCAGAGAAAAGTGTTTGGAAGTGCTTTTTGCTCTCTTATATGGACCTTGCAGATTTGATGTGCAAAGTTTACTGAAGCATATGCGTCTATGCATGCAAAACAAGGATAGGGGATTGCTATTCAGTGTCTATGTCCTCCTAGTACAGGCTGTGCCACATCTCTGCATATTTGTTGGTTTCTCAGTGTAGTGTGACAGCACATCAGTGGAATGGCAAGACAAGCAGTATTTGTCCATCAAGCCAGACAAGTGCTTCTTTCCTGATTAAAGAGAGTACGTTTTCATGCAACTTATAATTAGTCTGTGGAATACATTGCCACAGGATGTTACTCTAGGCCAAGAATTCAGCAAGATGTAAAAAGAAATTGAATGCTAATTCTAATAATATTTTCTTTGAAACAGAGATTCAACTCATATTACAGTTTTGAGGCCAGTTTACGTATTTTAAGGATTAGGATGTGGCACAGAGTTACTGTGTTTCCAGCCACCAGTGTTTCTTGCTCCTTCCTCTGGCTATTGTCAGGAACAAAATGCTGAATTAAGTGGGTTGGCTCCAATACTATATCTGTTTATCAGTGATCCATCTGTAAAGTCTTTTTTTTATGGAGAACATGAATGCAAAATCTGCGTTTGTGCAAGCTATAGACTGTAGTGGCCAAACCGTGGTCAAATATAGAGCTTGAGCAAATGCTAAAGTGCACAATATGTCTTCATTCAGTTACACTTGTAGTATAATACACAAGCTGTGGGATACACTGCTAAGTGAAGTGTACTAGTATACTACATACACAGGGAAGTGACTATGCTTTGTAATGTTTGTTGCTACCCAAAATTCCTGTTTCTAGTTAGTCATTTTGCTATAAGCCATAAAGAACACATATCACTCATTGTTAAACAGAGCTAAACAAAACAAAAATCACAACAGAAAGATATCAGAAAAGGAAGCTTTTTCCAAAGATAAACATCCATACCTCAAATACTTAAATGTGGCTAATGACATTCGTGTTTTATATTCTGTTCATCTTGTATAAACAGCGCTTGCTGCAGGCTGTAATCTTGGGGAGGATATATTTTTGGTGTGCTACAGAAGAAATGAGGGAGTTAGAAGTCCATGTTTTATGATCAAAATTATCCTCCCTTTGATGATTTCCTATTTTCAGGTCTTGATTTTATGTTGTACAAACTTGAAAGGATCAGAGGAAATATTTCTTTGAAGGGTCCTGTGTTAGTTTGGGTTTTTTCCTTGGATTTGAAAAACATACACAGTTGCTTTAGATGTTGTTCTGGCCCAAGGATTGTACTGTCCTTGTTTTCTGAAAGGTAGAAGAGCATTCAATTTCATTGTCTTTCCTTCGGTTTAAAAATTAGTTTGAATCCACATCACAATGTAAAAGACAGTCTTCTCTCCAGTGAGAAGGGTTTATTTCAGAGCAGATAGTTCAGTTGGGATGGGGATGGATGTACCTTAGACTGATGCTGTCCACAAAGACAGTGCATTCTTAAGCAAGATCCTCAGGGCCTTCTTATTTCCGCTGTGCCACTGACTCTTGTTAGACAAGCCACGTGGCAAGTCTGCAGCCTCTGTACCCCAAAGCCTTACCTGCATCTAAAGGGAAGCACAATGTGACCACTCCCTTTCTTAGGGACGCAAAGGAGACACGGGAGGCAGGGATATTTCAGTTTGGTAGGTGGGAGAAAGTAACAGGGATCCAGTACAGCCTGAAAAAGTAGAGTCTGTCTGTCAGAGAGGCAGGCAGAAGGATTAGGATAAGCTCAGAGAGTCACAAGTGTACACCTGTGGGTTGTTCCCTCCAGCACACACAACAGCCGCTCCCCAAAAATGGGCGAGAACCTTGGAGTTCTAATTTTTAGTTCTCTGACACAGAATCATAGAATCCCAGACTGGTTTGGGTTGGAAAGGACCTTAAAGATCTTGTTCCAACCCCCTGCAACAGACAGGGACACCTTCTACCAGGTTGCTCAAAGCCCTGTCCAACCTGGCCTTGAACACTGCCAGGGATGGGGCAGTCACAGCTTCTCCGGGCAACCTGTGCAAGTGTTAAAATGTCAGCAGGTCACAAGTTTTATGTCACTTGCCTACATTTCCCCTAGTTTATGTTCTTGAATTGTGACAACATAGTTATTTTTTTTCTTCAGTTAATCATTGCACTTTTCTCCTCAGAGTTTACAGTGCTTCGGAGTCACAAGATGCAGTATTTGCAGATGTGGCCCCTTTGCTAACATCTCTCCTGGATGGGTAAGTTAAAAGGTGGAAGTAAGAAAGCTAAAGCAGAATAATCTACTTAAATACATCAATTGAAAAAAAAACCTCAACATTTAGTTAATATCCTGTTAAGTTTTGTAGCTTTGCAGTTCCATTTTCCTGTCTTCTTTCTAGTGAACACCAAGTAAATGTTTCTGCATAAGGACAGTGAAAACACTGTTTGCAAAATTTAATGGAGCAAATTTGGAAATTAAAAAGTGTGTTGGTTTTTGTGTTGGTTTTTTTTTCTGGTCTCCTAACTGGTGAAGTGAAGCATCTGTTCTGTTGTTGTGTACAGCACAGGCCATATGAAGATGAACCAGGAATCAGTTCCTGGTTGAACCAGAACTGAGCATCCTCAGTCATAGTTCTAATGTTCCTTCAGGCACTGGATTTAAAACAGAATTCTGGTTTGAATACAAAACTGATTAGTAAGAAGCACTAACAAATATATGTAATTATTTCTAGCCAGTGAAGTTCATAAGTGTGATTTTTCATTTATACTAGAGCCAACTTAAGCTACTTTTGCAAAGTAGTCTTGATGTGCATATTGAATCTTTGAATTGTGCGTATTTGAATTGTGCAATTCATGTGAATATTGAATCTATTGAATCTTTGAGTCTTGAACTGAGATTTATACAAAACTTAACTTCTCCTTTCTCAACCCCGCTCCAGTTCCACTCAGCTATAGACGGTGGTTGTAGAGTTGTCATGGACCTTTCCCTCCCTGTAGAGGTAAAGACAGTCCATTTCTGTCCACAGTGGCATAATTGGACAGTAGCAATCCTTGTTCCTGTCAGCCTGCGCACTGAGGTGTCCAAGTCTTCTTTTCTTAAAAGCAGCTTTGAAGAGGAAATCAGGATATTGTGAATACTGGGAAAGCCCAGCCATCCCTTTACACGTGTCACAGTGAGGCCCACAATGGCTACCTGGTCTAAAGATCCTATATGACATTATTCTCGTTTACCAAAGATGAGTAAGTACAGTTTCCACAGCTGAGCAACCTAGGGACCTAGGTTGGAGGAGCCTGAAGAAATCCTTATAACCACTGTTTTCTCTCTCTACTTTATTTAGCCATAACCGTTAAGTTTTCTTTGGCTTAATATGTCATTTCTGTATCTTCAGACATACCTGATCTGTACTTGATCTGCTGTACTTCCCACTTTCTAATTCCCATGTTGGGAGAATCCTGCCCTAAAAGCTAGGGTTTTATGTTCAGTTAGGAAATGCTCTGCTACTGAAAACAAAAGACCTGTCTTGTTCTTCCAGAAGTGTCATTTAAACAGAAGCAGATTTTCAGGGAAGGCAAGGCTGTGCATACAAGCCCTGTTTCTCAGCAGCTTTGCCATTGTAAATGGGAAACAGACATACATAGTCTGAACTTTGAACCTCTTTGCTGCTCCTGGTTGTTTTAGTCTGGACTCCAAAGTGGTCTGTAACAACTTTTAGCTTAAGTAGAAAGGTGTGTTCCACTCCCTTTCTTTATTTTTCTTCCCTAATGAATTGTTTCACTTTTCAGATTATTCCATATGCAAAAGAGACAAAGTACAGCAAGCTTCAAAGTTTAAAGTTAGATATACAGGGCCAGCAAGGGAGGAAGATAACATTTCTTTTCTTTACAGCATTGAGGAATCCAACTTTTTATTTTAAAGAAGAATACAATTCTCTGCCTTTGATTTCCTTTAATAGTGTTCTCTCCTAGTGATAACTTTGCTGGACTGAATACCCATACTCTTTAGGAGAGAAATACTATGAAACTATTTTATATCATAGCAGCCTTCCAGTATCTGAAGGGGGCCTACAAGGATGCCAGAGAGGGACTCTTCATCAGGGACTGTAGTGATGGAACAAGGGCCAATGGAATCAAACTTAAACAGGGGAGATTTAGGTTAGATATAAAGAAGCAATTCTTTATTGTGAAGGTGGTGAAGCACTGAAACAGGTTGCCCAAGGCAGTTGTGAATGATCCATCCCTGGCAGTGTTCAAGGCCAGGTTGGACAGGCTTTGAGCAGGCTGGTCTAGTGAAAGGTGTCCCTGCCCAGGGGAGGGGGGTTGGAATTAGATGATCTTAAGGTCCCTTCCAACCCAAAGCATTCTATAATTCTATGATTCTATTGATATTCTAGCTTGACAATAAGAACTTTTCTACTCAAGAATATAACTAAAGAAGCAGAGAGTAGAAGGAGAAATATCAGGGCACATAGATGAATCATAGTCTGAAATTTTCAGATTGCTCTATTTCTAACCCTTTTGTTGGAACCGGAACACCAATGAAGTAAACTAGTTAAATACAAACTAGTCTGCTGTTTGTCATCTTGTTGCATCTGTCAACAGTTCATTCTCTCCTGTGCCTATTTAGATGTGATACCACTTTATCATTTTAGGTCATTTGGGCTTACTGTTTTTGCTTTGGTGGAGAAGTTATCACTGATTGATACTTGAAGATTTGAATATCTTCAATGTTACAAGCACCTGTCTACTTAGCTTCTAATCTGACCATCTGTATCTTGTCAGAGCTATTTTGTACATAATGCTTACTTTCTAACAACTAGCAATTAAGGAAAACTTGAATAGCTGGACTATATGAAAGTTTGAAGGACTTCTAAAAAGGCTTCCATTCTGGTTTTCCTAAGGAAAACTACTACTTGCAAACTTCTGGCTCTCTTTTTGGTTCCAACGTTCTCTTTAATTTTGGAGCAGGGCTGGAAATCTCAAAAAGCTATGGGCTGGCCACGCAGTGTGTGTTAGGATGGAATTGTGAAAATGGCTCATTGTAAGCCTAGTTAAAAACTACCAAACTTAGTAGGAGCTCTTCCACTAACATATATGGAAGCAGAGTTATGTCAGCAGTGAACTCTTAGAGAAATCATTCATTTCAGATTTACAGCTCTAATGTCTAGCCCATTTCATTTTGCTGCAGTGCTATTTTCAGTTAATCCCCTTTACTTCACCAAATCTATGACTAGACTTCTATTTTATACTCTGCATCCCGTGAGAGGACCTCACTGTAGGTTCACTGGCTGCAACTTTGATTTCGCATCCCCAGAAGGGGTACCCAGATATTTGCTGTGTTGCTTATCAGCCCACATTTTTTTCTAGCAAGAGAAAGCTTGCTAAATACTTCTCCAAAAAATAAATGCTTCTAGGCATGTTTAATATGCAAAAAATCACTGCAAATATTTTTCTCTGCATTGGCCATTTAAGTATTTCATGACTTGAAACCATAAATTTGAAATAAGTATATGAGGGGTGTTCATTGAAATATGCTGGCATGGGCTTGAAACAACATTTTTGATACGAGGAAAAGCATCGGATAACCAGAAGCAGCTGTTCAGGTCTGCCCACAGAGGAGGTAGCTTAAGCAGTGAAATTTTACTCCCTGGCAGAACAGGAGCAAGCCCATTGCTTGCAGCCTCCAGTAGAATAGAAATTTCAGCATACTGCAAAGCAGTCCTTGAGATTCTGCTCATGGTGTGCCTCTGAGCAAACAAGATGATAGTCCAGGGAAGGAGCAGTCCTGTCAGCATAACTGCGTATCTTCCAGGAGTGTTTACTGGCACAGTTCTGTGGTCAATACCAAAGTGATGGCAGATGCTGCAGGGCAGATGCGGCTGAGTATGGACCAGCCTTCAGCCATACAGTACAGTATTGGTCCTCAACACAAAGTAGTACTGTGGCTGGATAAATCACACTTTCTGGATAGGACTCTTACATCTAAATTCAGATCCCTGCTGCACAGACATCCACAACAGAGCTCATAGCTATGGACTTTATTTATTATTTTCAGTGCAGAGAGATGGGCATTTTCAGAGTCCTGTTCGTGAGATGTACTTTACCTGTCTACTTCAGAAGATGATGAATTGGGTTTCGTGGGTGCCTGTACCTCTGCAATGACAGTGCATATTTTCACCTTCTACAAGTCCGTATCAGAACAGTTCCTAACGCCTTTATTCCAGAGTATTCTTTGTGTGCATGCTTATACTGACCTAATGCATTTGGTTTAAAATGTATGCCTCTTACTATTAAGGCAGTCTTATCTCTTCCAAGTGGCTATGACTGATGAGCCTGCCTGAAAAAGACTATGAAAGCTGAAGAGTTCCCAGCTGTTAAGCTGTTCCCAGCTGTTAAGATATTAGTGCTGTGGTTTGTAGTGTAGTGCTGTTAAGACAAATCAAACCCAGCAATGGTTTACTTTAAAATGCTGTTCTTTAAACTGCAGTGGTTCGGGAGCTGATTAACAAGCAGCTCAGTAGTGCATGAACTGGAAGTTGGGCAGACAGGAGGTTTAACCTCGTCAGTCATTCCAAGCTAAGCATCCCTTAAACTCTGCTTAAAAGCATCCATTCAATTCTGTTTAAAAAATAAAATCTGTTTAGGCAATGATGTGAGCAGTACTTTAATTTCTGTCAGACTTTAAGATCTCCAGCAAGAAATCTGCAGGGGCGCTGTATTTATTTTTTGTTTCAGTTTTTGTTCCCTGTTGTGAATTAAGTTTAGTTAGCAGACCAAAATTCACCAATGCACCAAGAGATGCGTGAACAGTGTGTGATGGTTGGGTGCATAGAATGTAAGGGTATAAAACCCCAGGAATTTCTTTGTTCTGGATCCCTCCCCAGAGGCACCCAGTTCGAGCTACTCCTACCACTCAATTATTAAATTATTTCTCTAAGAATCAGATATGTCTGAGATTCTGCTCTGAAAAACCTAGGGTGACGCGTTTTCTTTAACATTCCCAAACTGTTTGGGGTTTGACTTGCTACCTAACAAACAAATTTGGTAATGGTAAAGAAAATGAAGGCCCTTTTAACTTTCAGGTACAATGTGTGCATCATGGCTTACGGACAAACCGGAAGCGGGAAGACATACACAATGTTGGGACCGCAGTCAGAGGAGAACCTTGTGTTTGCCATAGAAGATGAATCAGAACTTGGAATTATTCCTCGAGCTACCCAAGAAGTGTTCAGGTAACAACCAAGTGGCAGTGGCAGTTATCTTAAACTTTACAGAAAAGATGAAATTATGTTTGTAATGTATTTACCATAACAGATTCCAGCTTCATAGTGATTAATATTTATAGTTTCTCTGACTGCCATTCAATATTTGATTTTTGATACAGATTTCTAGACTCTCTCCTGCTTAGTCTGATTTTCTAAGAAAATAAATAAGATTACGCAGTCTTGCTGTGTGTGATCTGCCTGTCTGTCCTTCAGACTCCTAATTAACTTTTGAAAATACTTCAACCATAGTTTTAGGAGTCCAAAGATTAATTAAGTGCCTACATGTTTTGTGAAGACTGGTGATGGGAATAGATTGAAAGGATCCAGATTAGAACCTGGTCCCCAGGAAGAATGATAGTAGAGGTTTTAATCACAATCTGTTCTTACTTTGAGAATTCTTAGATTTTTTAGTTTAAACTAATGCATGATTTCAATTGATACACTGCTGTGTTATAGTAGAAGAGCCATTAGAGCTTTTCCAGCTAAGCTTTTTCTTTTGGAGAAGGGTATAAGCTAAATCAAAGATCCAATTTTGTATCAGATAACTATATCTAACTGTAAATACTCTCCTTAATTAAAGGAGAGCTATGGACTCTGAGGCTATGGACTGGCAGTCTCTCTTACGATCTAGCTGTGCAGTTTACCCTCTCTACCTGTTCATTGCTTGCACTCTGTTTATCATACCTTGAGCTCTGAATGCAATGTCTAGCAAAGAAATGGTATAAAAAAATCTTAAGGAAGGAGGGAGGCTGGTAGCAAAAACCAGTTTAAGCTGGAACAGCTGTTTGGAAAATGAAGTTTTATTTACTGCTTCATGTGTAATTTAACTGTATATTCTGATTCTTCAGCTTAATCTTAGTGTATGGGTGAGGCAAAGCCATGGCTGCAGATACTTAATAAACAATTTTATCAGACTGTAATTAGATTACAGTTAACGAATAGTTCTTTATTTACAGACTGGGGCTTGACTTCAACATCGTTTAGCTTTTTTCTTCCTTTTTTTTCCCCTATTTTCATTCTCCAGGCTTATTTCAGAAAAGCCACCAGGAAGTTACTGGGTTGAGGTTTCTGTTGTAGAAGTGTATAATAATGAAATTTTTGATCTTCTGGCCAAAGATAGTTGTGGAAAAGGATCTGGCGTCAAACGTGATGTTGTCACAACCAGAGAAGGAAAGAGCGACGTTCCATTGCTTACGCATGAGTAAGTACATGATTTGACCCTTATCATCTGACCGTGATCTGGTGTCAGTGCAATGTATAGCTGTCACAAAACTGCATTACAGGCACCAGTTATCACTTCTAAACAATGAGTCCTAGCCATATGCAAAATAACACATGGCAAACTCTCACTGTTTCCATTAGCTCAGTCTATTAGACTGCAGTGGGCTGCAACTGTCAAAATACTTTCAGAAACAACAGTACAGTTAATTTGGGTCATAATCCTGTATTAAGCATCTTCTGCTCAGAATGCCTGAAGATAGCTGTGTGTTTTGTTGTTATAAGATCTATGGCCTCTCATCAGCTGTAGAAAAAGGGGTAACCTGTTACAAAGCACTTTCTCTTCAGTCTTACTAGATTATAAAATTTACATCTTATAACAGTAATATATGTAGTTGTAGATTTTTAAGCAGCTGTAGAGTATTAGCTTTCCCTACATGCATTGGGGTTAAAAAAAATACCTTAGAAAGAATAAGATTTGAAGGGATCTTTTAATATAAATACCCTTCTTAAATGCTTAGTGTTCTATTTTCATAACTGGAGGCATTTGAACTCATAGTTCTTGAAAATCCAGGTTCTTCAAACTAAAAGCTAAGAAGTAGCTAAACTTCTACCCATTCAGTGTTAAGATATATACCTTCCCCACATCAGTTCATGGTCAACTGGATTCTTATTCACACATCTTGATGGTATAGGGACTACTAAGGTATTTAAGACTACCGCTATACTTACTTTAATGTTTTCTTGTACTTATTAATCATTATAAAGGCTTGTCCTAGTTCACATGGGAATAATTCCTGGTTTTACATATGTGTAGAATACAAAGCAAATGTATACTACTTTCTTGTTATACATAAAACACTTGGTTGATCAGACTGTAAAAACCACATGTTCATAAAAATTCAACTATTAAGAAGAGTGAATATGTTTCAGATTTTAGTAATGGCTGTTTTATTTATGCCAGTATTAAATCAATGTTAGCAAATAAAAATTATGACAAGCAGTACTAGTGCCACCAGAGGAGTGATGCTACCCAGTGGAGTTAAGCTACTGGACATCTCCATGTGAGCACCCAGCATGTGAACACATTCCAGAAGGGGACATCTTTCTTGTGTACTACAGAGAGCTCTAGAAACTTTAAAATATTATATTCTGCTCCTAAGCCAAATTATGTTTGTGAAAAGAAACATCTTGCCCTATTGAAATGTTTAGCACGGTATTATGGTTTTTTATATTTCTGAGGAAAACACAATGGTTTTCTTCGCTTCTTATAATAATTGTTTATCATGGTCTAATCTGTACTTTTCCAGAAGGAATTAGAAGTTAGATATGAAAAGCATCCCTCCTTCCCCCCCCCCTTCCCTTAAAATAAAATACACCCTCAGTGGAAATAATTGAAGGCAGTATTTTGTCTTGTGGGACTTAGTCACATAAGCAGACTCATAGTTGTTTGCTCATGTGGGTTTATGCTATTGCCAGCAAGCCTTGATAAAAATACAAGGAAATACTGGAGGACTGCACGAACATACTTTCATTCTACCTAGTTATACTTATTCATTGATTTCTATTTTCTAGCCCTTGAACTGCTCATAGAAAAGTGGGAGCCCAGAGAAATGGTGAAGTGCCTTTCTTCACCATGGGGGCTATGTAACTGTCCTTTCTTTCTATGAAATAATAATCACTGCAATATTCTAGGATGAATTAACATTTGTATCTAGGGTATGCCTGCTCTTCAGTCTTGAGGTTAAATATGATTTCCAGAGAAATTCTGCATCCTTGATTGCACTCTGCATGCTCTATATAGAGCATGGAATGAATTAAAAATGACTGGAGCTTGAAGTGATGAATCCTTTTGCCCTGTCTGTATTATGCTGACTTGTAGGTTTCTCAGTCTCTGTTCTTGGATTTTGCCAACTGTGACTCTACTCCAGCTTTTAGCGTCTCGTAAAGGTTCTGCTGTCAAGGGAATGAAAAACTTCAGAAGAAGTTGGGAGCAGAGCCTAACCTTTGTGTGCCAAATCTTTCTTGAAGGAGCTAATCTTTTTCTTTTGACTGGAGAAAAAGGAACCATATGACTTAGAAAATTAAGACAGGTACATATAGTGTGGGTATGATGGGAGTTAAACTTTTCCTGCTTCATCAGAACCTCCAAGTAATTTTTAAGTATAGTATTTAAGCTGGTTTCATTCCTGAAAAGTGCCTACTTGCCTTCCCAAGGGATCTTTGTGTAGTTAGTGGGTGACCCATCTCTTTTCCTAGGCTTTCGGGAAGGACAAGATGTAGCTTGTGCCACACAGACAAGAACTAGAAGCTACAATAAGGTTTCATTTGTACTTCTAGTTAACAAAATGGCTGCTTTCTTTATTTCTGTAATTTTTAATTTGTGGTAAAGGAACCTGGAGCCTTGAACTAAGCACCTCTTAAAACCCACTTAATTGATAAATACTGAATTGTAATGCAAATACAAGTAAGAATATGGATTTGTATCTCAATTACAATGCAAGCAGCAAAAAAAGTCCAATTCATAAACAGGTTATAGTAATAATTACACAGAAAGGTTAATAAGAAAAAGCAAACCCAAGCAAAGTAAGGGAATCATTGAAGGAGGCCACCCAGCTGCCCAAAATCTAAAGTAAACAGCTGGTGCTTTGAATAAAAACACATCCTCATTTGTGATAATATTTCATCTAGAATATATTGGCCTGCTAGGTCTCATTGGCTTCTCCATATATCCAATAATGTCAGTAGTCTCTTCTGCTAGCATGTACATCTTACTGAATCACAAAAACCTCAGTCTCTTTCTTCTTTTATGGCTTGGTTGACTTTGGAGAACATTCAGCATCAAATTTTTAACCTAACCACAACAGGGCTTCTCTTTGTAGGATCTGGTCCTGGAACATGCAGTATGTACAGCATGATAAAGTTGTAGAGATTATACTAAAAAATCATTACTGTCAGTCCTGCTGAGAGGTTGTTGCGCCAGGTTTGCAGCACTGGGCTGGGGATGCTGTTTCTCTCCAAAGTCAACTGCAGTTTCCCTGTAGGAGACTAGCACTGACAGCTTAGTCCAAGGCCTATATTCTGCAGACACTAGTTAAAGGACAGTGGCTTGTAGCACTGACCCCTTGCCAATGCACAGCAGCAGCCTGCAGAAGCCAACAGCTTGTTGCTGCATCCTAGGAAAGGCTGCTTACCTCTCAAACTTTTCAGTCCTGGCTGACAGCTACTGGAAAATGCAGTTCAAAACTCAGGAAGGTAGGATTTGCCTCCTTGGACTTGAGGCAACTGTCAGATCACTCCAGTGTGCGGCTCTGTCTTCTCTGCCAGTAGGAACTAAAGCCACTGGTTACCTCCTGGTGGCAGGTCAAACAACCGGGGAGACATTACCAGTGGCTGTACAGAGGTAAGAGTTATTACAGGGGAGGCCAGCATGTGGATTGACAGGCAAAGTCTGTAGTGATCGTTTAGTTCCTGCAGCCCTGGTTACACAAGGAACTGCTTTTAGGTGGCTGCTTCTCTTCTTACTTGTCTATAAGGATGGTGTGGCTAAGTGGTATTCTGTTCTTCAGATGCCCTTGCTTTGTTTTCAAAGGAAATTGTTTTACTTGGATACAGCTCTTTTGTCTTCAAGTATGGCTGCTCTTAGCATAAAATAAGTCTGTGCCCAATGTGACTTTCATTGAAATCAGCCAAATCTAAGTCACTAAGCCCTCACTTTATATCACACGACTGCTTTTGCTGACTGCAGTGATGTGGAACCAAGCCTGCAGCCTGTCAGGAGAGTTATTAATGGTGCTGGTGTTACAGGGCATTCAGTAACCAGGCTGTGATATGCAGGCATAGCAATTTATATCCCCATCTAGAAACTAATGTTTAGATGATGTAACTTGTATGGTCTTTGAAGAAGGCAGTGCACTGACAGGAAAGGGTAGGCAATCTTACCTTGTTTGTTTTAAACACTGCAAACCTGGAGGGAATCATAGTGGTTTTCTTCCTTACCAAATCCCTTTATTTCACTTTCTGTGTTAGGTTTTTGCCCTTCGATTGGTCATATTTGCATATCTCTGGAAAAGCAGATGGATAGTATGAGATAATATCGTCTGTAGAAACTTATGTCTCTGTATTCTGACGCTGTGGTGGAGTCCCTGCTCATTGAACAGTGTTACTAACCTTTTTACCAAGAATTCTGGACTTAAAGGCAAAATATGATTTCCAAAGGCTCAGAGATACCTTTTTCCCCTGATTCTGTACCTCCCACAGAACAGGAGCTACCTTAGCATAAACTGGAAAACTCCACTTCTGTAAGACCAGATTCTAGGAGTGTCTAAATCTGTGCCTTCTCTTCCAAAGTGTAGAGGTATAGGAATTTTAGTCACTTCTAGAGCTGAGCTACAGTACCTATACAAGGCTGGAAGGCCAATTCTTCACTTTCAGTACTACAGCTCAGCTTTTGTCTTGAATTTTCATCTTGACTATATCCCATCTGAAAAAGTCTGCAATACAGTTGTTTTCTAGCTCATTACACTATTCTCAGTTTTGAGCTGCACAGAGTGAGGAAGTGGAAATGCTCAGATTCACGTCTAAGTTGTCAGCTTTCTTGTGATTTTTACTGTGAGTCAGTTAACTCTTCTGCTTTTTTTACTTCCTAGGACTGTTGAAAGTGCATCTGAATTTTTGCATCTAGTCAAAAAAGGCCTGCAGCTGAGAGTCAGGCACCCAACACTGGTGCATGCTCATTCCTCTCGTTCTCATCTGATAGTTACACTGACCATAACCACAGTTGTCTCTGGAGATAGCTTTGGTAAGTAGGATGTTACTGAAATAACATCTAGAGCCAGATGGTTTTTGAAAAACAGTCTGTGGCCTGAGAGATTCTCATATGGTTTTTTCTCCTTTTTCCAATGTTTAATCCATTTCCTCAGTTCTTATTCATTTTTTAACTGCTACTTACCTTCTTAAATAACAGACCAGTTTGATGTTTGGATGCTACTGAAACTTTTACTTTCATAAAAACTTTTCATTTTCCTTTCTGTATCTTTATGTATGTAAAGAAGTCCTTGAAGTTTTATAGTATAGTTCATAGTAAGTTTGTTGTAAGGTAACCATGCATTTTAGGGATCATCATATGCTTCTGGTTGAGAAAAAATGATTTTCTTAGTGGCTGTCTTGCAAAAACATCCATTAAATTGAGTTTCTTGAACTGCTAATAAAAGGCCATTGGAGGAACAGACAGCAGAGTTATTTTTATTTACTATGCCAAAACCTTTATTTCTACTTTTCATTACCACACCACGACTTACCAGTTTATTGCTTTAGGAGTAACTTTGGCTGTGGGGGGTTAACTTTGTTTTCTTTTGCTCATGTTGTAATTAGGCTCTGTGCTTTCAGTGCCGTGGTCCATCTCCTTCATGCTCTACAACAACAGTATGGGTTTAGAAAGTGGTAAATACTTAACATTTTTTCCCTTAGATTGCTATCAGAAATTAAACCAACAATATTAGCAAAACAGAACAAACAGTGCCCTCACTCATCCATGGGCCTTGCCAAAAGACACAGTTATTTCATGAGTTGCAGCTCCAGTGTTCCAGGTGTTAGCTCTTGCCAGTTCCAGATTCGTGTCAATCAGACAGGAGGCACTTTTCAAAACAGTGTTTGCACCAATAGGGCACCAGTCATCTTGTCTAGTCCAGACTTCCCTTTGCCACTTCTCATTGCAGTCACTCTTCTATGCCATATTTTCTGGTAGCAAAGCTTCACAGAAATGTCTGATTTATGCTGAATGCAGACTAAGGCTTCCAGCTTATAGCACATGGATGAAGATGTGCAATATGGTGGGTAGAGCAGCACTGGAAATGGGACCTCACTATAGCAGTGTGACAGCATATCCTGTCTTGTTTAAAAGGAGAAAATCCTGATTTAAAAGCTAGGTGCAATTGTCAAGTATCTCAGCACCGGAGACTTAAGGTGACTAAGTTAAAGAGTTGTAACATCTGTGACGAATTCTGTAGCTAAAGCCAGAGCTGACCAGCCAGTGCTTTTTCAGGTTTGATTAAAGTCTTTTAGAATTTTGTTTCAGCATTACCAGTTTGAGGAGAGCAGTTTCTTAATTTCCTCATCTAAAACTGAAGAGGAGTGAGAACACTTATTTTTACACACTATGGCCTAAAGCCACTTTTTCTGTATATACTAACACAGCTGCTCTGTCTACACTGCAAGCAGCTAGCTTGGGTTTTAGCAACAGCCTAGCTTGAGAAGTTGAGAGCTCTACAACGCAATTTAGTCTGCTCCTTACTCAAGTTTTGCAGCTGGGAGCCTATTGCAACTAGGCTCTTTAAGTCTCCAAGTCTATTGTTTCTACTACATGTAGCAGAGTATGTGCCTTTTACTCTTTCACGTCTGTCAGAGAGATGGATGAAAACCAAAACACTGAGGGGGAGAAAAAAGAAAAGCTGCTTTGGGAAAATGCTTTTGCATATACTCCCGCTAAGCTAATGTGAAAGTGGCTTTCCCAGAGAATCTGTCTTCCTCTTCCTTCCCAGCAGAGAGTGAAAGACAGATGCTGCTGGTCAGGAAAAGGAAGGATATGAAGCAGTCTAGCGCAACTACAGAACTACCAGCAGTAACCAACCTAAACAACTGGGACTTGTGTTACTGAGGATATTAGCTCATCATGGGGGATGCAGCAGTGGGATATGAGAGCTGAAGGAAGTCTAGAGGGAAAAGCAGCAAAGGGCAAAACTGCAGAGGCCCGGTGAGGATTTCTTTTTTTGCCCATAGCACCAGCAGGTGATGACATTTCAAAGATCTAAAAACAGACTTCAAAGCTTACTGCTCCCAAACACCCAGTATTCACTTTGAGTGAACAGAAGTGTGAACAATGTGGATAATTGGATAAACCACAACCTATACCAAGTCTTGTTACCAAGTGGTACAATCGGTTTGATGAGCAAAACCTTAAATAAAAAAGTGATTCAGCCAGCCTATGGCATTGATTCTGACTTGTATATTGCTTCTGTCAGAATAGGTTGAAACAACATATATTGTACTTCCTCTGTCGATGCCCCATTTTTCCTCATCTCAATTTCCATTGTCAGTGAGAAACTTTTTTCCACTAACCAGGTACTTCATGGGAAGATGAACAAACGAGTCAGAGACTACACAAAGAGGTTTCCTGCACCTTCCCACAAAAAATGAAAGAAAGTAAATCTACCTCTTCTTCCAGAGCCTCTTCACCAGCACAGCTTGAAGCAACTGAGAAAATGAAGCAAGTCAAAGCTAGATTGCAACTGGTGGACCTGGCTGGTAGTGAGTGTGTCGGTAAGCAAACACATCTGTATGGGCTTGGATCCTCCCAGATCCAGGTTACAATAGTAGCCTTTACTCTTTATGTATGCATACATGCTACCCTGCTTTCACACATGGGGCATAAACACACATCCTGGCATAAACAGAGTTTTGGGGGCGGATTGTTCTAGCTTTAAATCTGACTGCACAAGCTTGAAATAAGCCTGGGGCGGTTACCCATATCATAGGTATGTTATTTGTTCAGACTGGTTTTATTAAGCCTGTTTTTCTACTCTGAGAATTAGCATATCTTTGCACAGAAATATTTAAAGTGCATAAATTACTTAAATAGTACACATATCTGTAATAATTGGTATCATCATGTGTGGGGTTTTCTGCCTTATTATAGAAAAAGTCTTGGAGGAAGTTGATGTTGAAAAGATAATATTGTTTTCATTGTTTCTTCAAAGCATTTTCCTCCTCCTGCCTCCTGTATGCACACAATAATTTCAAAAACTTGATTATTTCCTAAAGGACAAGCTTTTTTACCAAGAAAAGCCATGCAGCCAAACGTACCATTCCAGAAATAATGTTTTGAAAACTGAACGAGTATTATGAAAGAGTCTTTTACTTTACTGCCAAGAATTCTTGCTGTTGCTCGCTGCTAAACTTTTGTTCTAAAGAAACCTAATATAATTCATCCTTTTTCTCATTTGCTCCGAGTGCTGGAAACTGTTTGGTAAACACATAATTGAGCAACAGGGTGTGTGTTTGCTCTCTCAACCGGGACAAACATTTGCCTGGTCTGGGGCTCAGTGGGCCAGGTCCTCAAGTGAAGCCTGAAGAGCTGTGCTCACATTGGTGTTAGATGTGGCCCAGCACATGCAGCAGACTAACCTCTGCCACTAGCTACACTGGTGGACTTACTCTGATAAGTGAGGGCAGCTGGTAACTCGTAATTGTGCTAAAATGTGAACAGGTCTAAGCAAGCAACAGTACAGGAGGCTTCTCACACACTTCGGCACCCTGCCTTCCTAGCTCTACAGCCATCCCGGATCATGTACAGCATTTACAAGATAAGTGGTCCCTTTTTAGCAAACCAGGTTTCAGTTTGAAAACTCAGCCAAATGCTTTGTGGAAGTTTATCTAACCAAATGTAGATAACCAGCAGTTTAAACATGTACCCCATCACCTATTTGCAGTTTTCTGCTTTAGGGTGATACCCATTGTCTCAGGAGTCCATTTTTACTTGCAGTCTGGGGATGGCTACATACACAATGACCCCAGTAAAGTTAGTCTGAGATACAGACCATGACAGGGTCTTCCAAACTGTTTTGCTCTGTGCCTGTCAAGAGACTTTACCACTCCAGCCCCATCCCCTTCCACAGTCACATTTCTCCAGCCCTCACTGTCCAGACTGTTGGGGGTTTTGCTATTACTGAACCTTTTCACATTTGCCTCTTGAACACCTCTCTTGTTCTCACAGTTTGGAAAGTGCTGTATTCCTGAAATGGAAGAGGTAAAGACAGGAGGAACTCTTAACTGCGTGCTCACTGAGACCAGTCAAAGAGCTGAGCTTGCAGCATCTCTTAAAGCGGTGCAATGTGATGCGTAGACCAAACCTTTCCAGTTGTTCAAGGGTAGCACAGCTGCATACCATCATGCTGGGTGGATGGTAGAAGGGCATCATTTTTCTTTATCAGTTTCCTTGCAGCAAATCATACCACAGATCAGCACCTTGCAGACTCTGGTGAACATAAACCCCTCACATTTATAGCTGCTGTGCAGTTTTGTCTCTGGAGCTTGTGCCGTCACTGTCACTTCTATTTTTCCTAAGGAATACAAATGGGACAGTTAGTTAACTACTATAAAAAGTGGTGGACCACAACAGGCTCCTCTGTGGGGGACCCTGTGGACTCATGTTTTCAAAAGCAGCATTGTCTTGTCTGATCTTATGGTGTTCCTACTTTCTCAGTTCCCTGTTCTTAATACATGTGGAGACAAGATGAATTGTACAGCTAAAGAGAGCAAATTTAACATGAGACACTTCATGCAGACCATCTGCTGGCACTGAACCTTCTTTAACCTTCCTTCAAGAGAGCAGAAGCACTGAACAATGTACTAGCAGTCCAGAGTGAAAAAACGCTGTGTCTTGCTTTTGGCATGGGTGGACTGGAAGTCATGGTTCAGACCTTGTATTTAAAAATGTTGCATCAGAAGGAGATGATACAGCAACAGAATTTTTCACATATTACAGTTGAAGCAGCCTTTGCTTTATCTTACCCTTGTCTTTATCTACACTGTTGTAGGTATGTCTGGAGTGACGGGTACAGCACTGAGAGAGACCTCATTTATTAACCGCAGCTTGTCTGCCTTAGCAGACGTTCTTGGAGCAATAGCAGAACAGCGATCTCATGTACCATATCGAAACAGCAAACTCACACATCTCCTGCAGGACTCTGTAGGTAAGGGATGAATTTTTCCTGTCTTTTGTTTAACAATGTAGATTTCCCAATATTTCCCTTCCTTTGTTATATAAAACTAGAGGATGATCTTGTACTCATCCCTTGTATGTGGGCCTCTGTTCAAAGACTCTGGCTTTGGAGCATTGTGAGTACAGTGAGAGTTCTGAACTGCTCCTGAATTTGGCTAAGCCTTGCTGTTCCCAAGGTTCAGTTTAGGAATGCACTTGTAAAAAACCACAACATCTCTAATAGGATCATGTAAAGGGTAACAATTGCATTTCACTAATGTTTCATGTCAGGTACAGTTTGCAAGTTAAGCTTCAATCTTTATCACTACAGGGTGTAGTCACATATTTACACATTCCTTAATACTATGTTTGGGTCACTTGAAGGAGCTGTCTGTTGTCAACAGCCCTTCTTATGGGCAGTCTTCTGCTTCATAAAAGCAACAGCAGGAAGCCTATGCTTGCTGTTCTGTAGATCAGTACATTATCAATGTATAACTTCCAGAAAATAATGAGGTAATTGTGTTTTGTCTGTTTTCTTCTTTTAGGGGGTGATGCTAAGCTGTTGGTGATGCTGTGCATCTCTCCTGACCAGAAGTACTTAACAGAATCAATGCAGTCTCTGGGCTTTGGAACTCGTGCTCGGCAAGTTCAGAGAGGACAAGTCAAGAAAAAGAATTTCCCTGTGCTAAGTAAAATAAAACCTAAGACTCCTGTGGATTAAAGTATTATTAATGAGTTCCTCAGACTGAAATGTATATTGCTGTCCTAAACCCATTCTTTTAGGTATCAACTGCCAGATAAAATAAACAATCCTCAACATGGCATTAGTAAGTCATAAACCTGCTGATAATGTTCTTGCTCCAAAGATAATAGCAAGTATTGACAACAGCTACCAACCATGGTGGAACGGCAGAGAATAAATCAGGCTGTTTTAGGAAAGCTACTTCAAGATGTGGTTTTGGCAATGTCTTTTCTTTGGGCAAGTAGAACTAAATCAACAGAGCCCTGATTTAGGATGGCTTCTGAAAGGCCAAGGGTGCATTCTGTTTTCTCAGTAGAAGACAGAGGTCTAAATATCATTCCAGTGCTTCAAAGCAGCAAGTGAAATACTTCCTTCCAGCTTGGATTAAAACAAGACACATCACTGTAGCTTGCTTTTCTGTCTAGCATAGATAGGGTCATTCCTGATGCACTACCAACAGGTAGGAGTGTAAATGAATCCATCATTTGTAATGAGTGGAGTTCTCTTCTCTGGTTTTAAGTAAAAAAGTAATGGCACTAATAAGAAGGAGAAAAAAGGAGTAAGGCTCTATGCATCCCTCTGGAAAACAGCTTAGGAAGCTTTTTGAAAATGCTCAGGTTAAATAGTTGGAGTGAATGCCAATGCTGCCAAGTTCAGCTTTGCCTATTTTGGGGTGGGTTTTTTGCTTTATGAGTGATAAAAGGCCCTGAACTACAGATCTTAACAGGACCTAACTTGCACAGCTGCTTTAGTAGTAGTCTGGCTTGTTGTTTCCTTGTACTTCTGATGCAAGTTAACCACAGCAGAACCTTGAAGATGTGCCTGCACATTAGGAAAGGATAGCTAATTGCTTCCCATCCACCACATGAACACAAACACCAAAAACTCAGCTTGTAATACAATGTTTGTCATCTTCAAGAGGCTTTCACTCTCTTACACCAATGTTGAGACACCATTATGCAGGGTTTGCGAATGAAGTTGCACTGGGAGAAGTTTGAAGGAAATTCAAGCATGAATTCTCATTTCAAGTCAGAGATGAGAAGCAGTTCCAAGATGAGTAGCTGGGTTCAAGTAACACCTAATGTGCTTCATGCACTATGTTACTGCTCAGCAGAGACCTCAGGATCTGCTGAATTTTTACCTCCAGCACTCACTCTGCCTCTAGACTGAGAGAAAGGTCATTGGTAAGTCACTGCAAGAAGGCTTAAATTGCCATGGCCTGTCCAAAAGGCTGGAGTTTATAGTACTCCAAGTCACTTAACCTTCACAAGCATAAATATTTATCCAGAGATTATATAGCATCCTATTATTGGAATTTCACCCTTGAATATGTAACAGCTGCTATTTTGCAAGCAGTGCTCTACTGCTCAGAACATCAGCATCGCAACCAGAGCTGTAATACTACTTGTCTTCTCAAATAATGCTGTGAGGGTAAAAATGCCTTAATTTTACCCGATTCCAGCAGTAACATATGGGTAGAAAAAGAATCTGGATGCAGGACCTTAGGAAGCTGAATGGTCACTAAAGCCATCTTGGGTCAGAAAGTGTCAGAGCAAGGAATGTTAGTCTGAAAACAAAAGGCAGGATCAGACCACGTTCACCTCAGTCTCCTGAGAGGTATGCTACTAAAGCAGCCTGGATTACAGCTCCTGGGGAGGTTAATTGACAAGGAAGGGCTAGAGATCCTCCAGCATTTTTAAGTAAGTTCCTTAAATATTTTTAAGGATTTGGCATTTCCTAAGTGTTACACAGAAATGTAACTTGTCAGGAACTGCGCTTTCTTTTCTGGAGCTGCTCTTCAAAACTTGGCATTTATTTACAATCTGTGTGGTAGTGGAAAAGCAGCAATACTGACTGTTAAAGCTGAAAACTAAACCCCTGAAGTATCAGCAAATATACTTGCAGCATTCCCTATTCCTGTTTTCCTTGTCAGCATGGCGTATCACTCACTGTTTGGCCTGCACAATGAGGTGTATGAGATATGCAAGGCAGCAAAGTTAACATCTTGGTCTAAGAACTTTCAGTCTTGGAATTTCTTGGGTTATGGAGACACGATTGCTCAATCGCAGTGTCAGATGTGACGCACCAAAGGACTGACAAGAAAGTTGAAAGGGTAAAATGGCTTTACTCTGGTGTCTAACCTGAGTTGTCTTCTGCCTGAACATTCACTCAGACCTGCTACAGGAGAGGCAAGGGTCTTCAGACCCTTTGAACTGATGCCCTGTGTAAGGCCTTATACCTCTCTGCTGTATTTCTTTTAGTTTTCAGATCTTTCATGCTCTGAAATAACAGCTATGTTAGAAAAGCAGGTGTGACATATCCACAGATGTAAGTCTTCCTTTGTGCCCGCAGGGAGAAACTTTGTGCAGAGCAGCTTACTCCGAGAGCACCTGACATGCTGTAAATGCACAGTGCAGTTCGCAGCACCATGCACCCCCTGCAGATAGGTATTAATCTTCCCCACCACTGAGGAGTATACCTTTAACCAGAGCCCAAGGAGGTGATATGATCCACAGTTGCTTAACAGTGCTGCATCTCATCACAGGGTTAAAAAAAGCAGTAATTAAACCAGGCAGCGCCTTTGGCCCATTCTTAAACCAAACCTTGACCTATGCTGATGTTTGAAAATTATATATTTAATTTCCACATGTGGCCTCATGCCTTGGCAGCAGCTACACCACAAAGAGAGGCTGCTCTTGGGTTTAGGCAGGCTAGGGAAAACCATAATCAACGTTGGAATGTTCACAAAAATGTTTAATTTGTTATTAAATTGCCGATTCCACTTTATGAAGCACTTTTCCAAACCTTTGCAAAATGGGAGGACCAGGCAGAATGAAGTGGTTACTGGAAAAGCCTTTTGGCTCCTGCTGTGGACAAGCAGTTGCAAGCTGATGGGCTTGCAAGCGTCTTCCAACCAGGGGGAGAAGCAACAGCATCTGCTCATGGAGGAACAGAGGGACTCAGAGTGCAGGAACATCAAACATACCACTGTCTTTCACAAAACCAACTTGGTATTTGAGCAACAACAATCACAGCCCAGCCAGATATAAACGCAAGCCACGTACCATACAAAGGAGGACACAGGGTGATCTAATTGAAGGGCACAAGCGAGGGGAAACACTGCCTATAATTCTGATTTTTCTGGCATCCATTTTATCAAATCAGGTTTTATCTCACAACACATTCGCCCCTATTTTGTTTATATAGGGGAGAGAAAAAAAATCTGAGATAAAATCTGAGCCCTCCTGAATTCCTGCAAGTATCTCTCGAGAGGCGAGAGCAGTGGTCAGCTGCATTAGTTTCATTTACTTGAGCTCATCTTGAATAAGTGGAAAGGTGCCTGTGGTCTTGGTTGGCAACATGTCCAAACGATAACCATCCTAAAGTGGTGTTCAATTATACCCTAGTGACATTTTGAAGCAAGCATTTCCCAGAATGCCCTGGGGTCAGGAGAGCAAACACAGTAGCAAACGTGGGCACTGCAGTGCCCAAAAGCCTCAGCCTGTGCCAGGCAATAGGCTGGTGCCTGGGACTAAGGCCTATGGCTACAAAGGCACATAGGTGCTATTGATGTGGGGTATAACCTGTGGCCTCTCTGATGGCACAGAGCATGCTGAAGCCACTGGGTAATGCACCTTTATGAGCATTCCTCTCTGAACTCTTGGGCTGTGAAAGTGTTTCCAAGAGATAATCTTAACGACCCCTTCCTTCACAACAACGCTCTCCTCTGCCTATATTTTTACCCAAGATCTCAGATTTTTAAAACAGGGATGATCCTTCCTTTACTTAACCAAGGATTTGGGATTTATCAAAGTATTTGGAAGGGGGGTCCAAACCCAATACTTGAATAACATGATGCGATGCTCCAAATTCACCTCTTGTTTGTTCAGTATATGACATGTCTCCAACAACTTTGGGATCTGCCCCAGAAAACCTGCTGAAATGCTGGTCAAGATACCAAACACATTCAGGTGTCAGTCCTACCTGTTCAAACACCAGGGCCTAAATTCAGCAATAACAGAAGGGAACTGCAGTGCTCCAGCTCTCAGGACCAAGTATTTAACATCTGCTTTAATGGAAACAATGTGGGAAAAAACAAAAGAAACAACACAGATGTCAAACTCCAGGAACATGAGGTTTGCACTTTTTATCCATAGACTGGCAGGCTTAAAGTTGCACCTCTGCTCTTTTCCCTGGGGATCCACAGCTAAGCTATCACCCCATTGTTCTTTCAGCTCCTCTGGCTCCATGCTTGCAAGTACCTCCTCCAATACATGTCCCCTCTTAGTCTCTCTCTTACGTGAAATTACTATCCTGGCTGAGTCACTGCCCAGCAGATCACTTAAAGGCAAGCACCAGAAGCAGTCATTTTCCCTCTCTTTTTCCTCTGGACTTTGCTAATCAGTTCCTTCCCTCTTCTAAACAAAAAGAACAGAAAACAGCAACAACAAAACCCATCCCACTACCATAAAAGGTTTTGGAAGCCACACCAGAAGCTTTGAAGATCCAAGAGGCAGAAGATGGTATTTCCTCCCTCACTTCAGATGTTTGGATTTCTGCAGTGTGAGCGTCCTCTACCTCTTTTTGAGCACACACAGACTCTGCCCACTATACGCTGTGAGCTGTTTTTGAATTACATAAGCTCCAGGTTAAACACATGGCTAGATTAAGAGGTGTGAGCATTTAGCACGGCAGCCCATGCATTAGCAAGCAGTCCTTCACACTTTAGCCACAGGCCTCTAATACTTCCAGCCCTACGTGCTTTGGCCAGGCAGCCCCAACGCTCCCAACACAATGTGCAATACACACGCTCTGATGAGTCTCATCTGCATTTGAGGTCCACCTGCCCACACTCCTTTTCCCCACACGCATTTCTCAGGGTAGGTGGCTCATCATGGGCAGAGGCACACACTCATCCATGTGTGACTTAGAAAGTACCCATGCTCACTCACGGGTTTGCTCCTACTGCATCCATCCTGAAGTGAGCCATGCACCG